TTCCGACGGTACGACGGAATTGCCGAACGGCATTTCAACTCTTATTTGCGGCGATATTGTAAGTTGCGATGTAGAAAACGAGACCATGATCTCCGACTCGAATCCGAGTACACCCGAATTTCCACGTACGAGCAATGGTGCAAGCGGTTTTAGACGTTCATTGTTATTACAAGATGAAAGACAAGAAGACCGGAGAAATTCATCTCTTTCAAAAGTACGTTCTTGTTTGTTTCGTTCTCCGAACGCAAGTTCATCCACTGTAAATCCAGGTTTTGAGGATACTAGCCCGTTGGCGTCGACGATACCTGTGACCCGTCGTAGACGAATTTCTTCCGATTTTGTTGATAGGAACGCTATTGCGAATTGCGGAGTCGAGAATAATTCTCCATTATTCGTTCGAACGTTTAAACGACCAGATCCACCGATTAATGATAGCCCGAAATTAATAAAAAAATCACGAATGTCAAACAGTTTTAACGATATTGCAAAGGAATGCGATGTAAATGAAGGCATGGCATTTGATGTGAAATACGTGCAAAGAAATTTCTCTTCTTCAGAATCAGTAATGCCAACAGCAATAGAGACAACAAATATAGAAGTAGATGTAGAAATGGAATCGGAAACAGAAACGGAAGTAAAGTCAGAAGATGAAACACATGCGCACATTAAATCGGCCATTCATCGTAGTATTACCGACGCTGATCTTACAGGAGATTTTAGCAAACCGTGTGTTCTACCATTGGCTGTCGGTCACCACGAAGACTTGAAATCGATCTCCGTCGATACCTTAGCTGCCTTGATACACGGAGAATTTAGTGATCGAATTGGTTCATTCAAAATCGTAGATTGTCGTTATCCATACGAGTTCGATGCTGGCCATATTCAAGGGGCTTTGAATCTTTATAGCAAAGATCTTATTGAGCAAATACTTTTAGATCCGTTGACAAATAGGCCCGAAATTCAACCAGATACAAATAAAAGAAGTATTTTAGTGTTTCATTGTGAATTTTCGTGGGAACGGGGCCCAAATCTTTCACGATTTTTGCGTAGTTTGGATCGGCAACGTAACAAAGAACATTATCCCGCTCTTTATTATCCAGAAGTTTATCTTTTGCACGGTGGATACGAGAAATTTTACAAGGAACAAAAGGCGTTATGTACGCCGCAGGGTTATCGACCGATGAGACATCCTGATAACCAAGCTGACCTTAGACAATTTCGGAACAAAAGTAAAAGCTGGCAAGGTGAGAAGTCAAGAATCGGTGGTAGTGCAACGCGAAATAATCTAAAACGTTTAGGTTTCTAATTCTCCGTTTTTCTCTCTTTCTCTCTTTCTTTCTCTCCCCTCCACTATCTTTTCTTTCTTCTCTTCGTTTCTTTCTTATGTACACTCTACCAATTCTTGTCTTTCTCACTCTCGTTGCTTCATTTTTCAACAATTGATAATCGATTTCGAGTTGAAAGAATATGATCCGATATAAAAACGCATATAAGTGCAAATTGCAAATAGTAGATAAAGTGAGATATAAAGAAGGAACATTTTTCTTTTCATACTATTCTCACGACAAATGTGTAGTTGTTCCTATTTTACTTTTTTTTGTAAATAATGATAGTTTGTTTTGTTCAAATACGCTTAAATTTTTAGTTAAACAATTTTAGGAAGAGTGTACTTACACGTTTTTTATAACAAAGAATAACGATAAAAGCATTAAGTTAATGCAGAGAAGAATACTTGCTCACCTTTCGGGTATTACCTTCGTGAAATAAAGTAAAATAAGATAGTGGTAGAGCAAAACGAGTCGATAACGATGATTATATTCTCGGGCAGGTTTCCCATTCGTATGTATTCAATATCGACGTTTTTTTTTTTTATCAAATTCGCGTATATTTTTGCACGGAATTTAATGTCGTTGTTGCTCGGGATACTCTGTTTCGCCAAAGTCTAGCGTGTATACACCAAATGTATAAGAAATGAGCGAGAAATTATTAGAAGATTGAAATGTCTTCGAATGTGCAAATTTATTTGTTATGTTGAATGTGGTGATGACGTACGCATGGTGTGTATTCGTGTATGTAACGCATGTGCGCTCGCGTGCGTATATGTGCGTATATGTGCCGTATGGTGTGTAAAGAAAGATATTAAAATAATCATATGTTACATGCATTTACTTATTTTATGTAATATGATATATTTCAAACGATTAAAAAAATCTTTATTTCAATTGTATATTTGTTGATTTATTAAAAAATTGAAATTCAAAAACAATTTAATTCAATTTTCTATTCGAAATAAACGAAAAAATATTTTAGAAATCTTCAATTTTTGACTAAATATTCTTTTAAATTGTTTTTTAACAAAATATATCTTATATTATCGCCAAGTCCAGTATCTCACAATCATACATTGGTTGTACTATTTTTCCAGGTTATCATTTTATAAATATATTTTAAAATCAAGAATATAGTATTTATTACCAATATCTATTATGTTTTTTAACATTAAAGATTAAAATTAATACTTTAAAAAAAAAATGAAAAAAATGCATTTAATTGATTTATATTTCATTTATGATTATATACTAGCAGCAAGTATAGCAAGAAGAAAATAGGACAGAGATAGAATAAGAATTGATTATCATTGCCATCTCTTAAGTAATAAAGACAATTCTTTAAATAATCATTTTTGCAAAAACACTCAAGAGATGACGTTAATTCTTAATTCTTATTGTAAAATTAAAAAAAAATAATTTTTATTTATTTTTGTATACATATCATATTTTATATGTATATATTTTTACATATACATAAACAAATATTTTTCTTTTTTTTATTATTCAATTCATTCTTTACATATATTCTTATTTTCTTCTCACACGTTGCTATTTAAATAAATTTTAAATTATATATAAATATAATAAATCAAACATAACATTTAATTAATATTGTTTCTTTTTTAAATTTTAATTATTGACTAAATATATTTGTCAATATTGTCAATAATAAAACAGCGATCAAAATGTTTCCAGTAACGCCATCTCGCGTTTGGATACTCGAAGCTTCGACTTGTTACTAGCATAACATAATATATAAAGAGGTATTCGAAGTCGTAGACAAGGAAAGCAAGATTGTGCGAAAAGGATGGAGAGTATCTTCCACCATTTCAAAGATGCCACATGGAAAATTCGTTAATTATTCGTTTCCTATTCAAAATTTCATCACTTTTAACTTCATATCTTAAAGCTAAAGGTTCACGCTAGTTTATTTTATCAATTTTAATATAAAATTCTCTTTCATTATTATTTATTATTATTATTTACTACTAATTAACGCATCATATATTCTAATGCATGGAAGACGCCATATTGAAAATTCATTAATTACTTGTTTTCTATTAAAAATTTTTACATTTTTGAGTTTGTATCTTGAAGCTAGAATTCTAAACAAGTTTCTTATATCAGATTTAATATAAAATTTCTTTTAATTAATTATTTATTAATGATTAATATGTTATATCGAATTAATGCCAATGATACGCAATAAATTTTTCATTAATTTTTCATTATTATAACATTTATTTCTAAATATTATTATATGCATTTGAAATATTATTTTTTCTACTATATTTATATATAAATTTTATTTATAATTTTTTTATAGTTTAAATGAATAAAATGATTTATATCTGGATTTCGGACTGGAATTATTGGTTTGCAACTAAAGATACAATCCATAATAATTTGTTAAAATTTTTAATCAAGAACAAAAAAATAAAATTAATTAGATTCATTTGTTGTTTTACAAGCACATAAATTTTATAAAATATAAATTAAAAAGTAAATAATAATAACAAGAATAAAGATAATAAAAAATTAAAGAATCAGCACCATCTTTAGAAATGAACATAAGAAGATAAAAAGAGAGAATAATAAGAAAAACAGAAATAGAATAAGAATTAACCATCAATGCCATCTTTCGAGTATCAAAGACATTTCTTTAAAAAATTATGTTTCTAAAAACGTTTAAGAGATGGCATTGATTTTAAATTCTTATCTTTCTCTTCGAGAATTAAGAAATGGCGCTGATAGTCAATTCTTATTTCTATCCTTCTTTTATTATTTTCTTATGTTTGTCCTTATGTATTGAGTTTCATTTATGGCAATCAAGAGATGGCGCTGATTTGACTATTTTTACTCTATCTCTGTCCTTCTCACACTATTTGTTTCATGAAAGATATACTAGATGGTGCTTTCGTCAATATTGAATTTTTATTCTATCTCTTTTCCTATTTATATTTATTTTATAAAATTTATGTGTTCAAAAGATACTTTCAATATCTCATTAATTTTATTGTTTTTTTTACCTGCAAAGTCTCATTAAATATTAAATACATCTTGTCTGTGCTTAAAAATTCATCACAATAGATTAGTTCTATATATTACTGTTAGATGGTATGTCAATGTCTATTAAATATATAATTTTTAATTATTAAATGACAAAAAGAATTAATTTTAAATTATTTTTATTAGAATATGTTTTAATTTTAAAATTAAAAAATTTGAAATTTATTTTAAAAGAAATTAATATAAAGATTTGTTCACAAGATTTTTCAAGACTGGTTCGAATATACGATTGGTTAGCTATGTCAAAATCATAGTTATAGCATTGAACTTGTGTTATATAGCTTATTCAACGAATCAAGTTATCAGATGTAAATAATACTACGTAATTAAAATCTACAAAAAGCAGAAGCACATATCTAAGATACAAAATAGTAAGCTATTATTTCGTATATTATTTATAGAATTATTATTATAATGAAGAACATTCAAAATATAAAATCATAATTTTCGTATCATCATATGTATTATAATATTTAAAATTTTAATATGATTGAAGATTTTTTTACCAGTTAATTATTGAAATTGCAACATTTGTAGATATAATTTTTATCATTTCTGGTGACTTTATTCGTTGAATGAAGTATAGTTAGAAGGAACGTATAAAAGAAAAGGAACAATCGATTACGTTTGTAGTATACCGGTCTTCTGAAATTGGTACAAAGTTATATTAGTTTTTTTGATTACATTTTTTTCAGAACGTTGTATTTGCATTAGTTCGTATTGGATGTCATGTCACTGCTTTTCATTAACACAAGTAATACTTAATTAAATTGAACTGTATTGCATTTTCTTTTTTTTTAAATTTGTTGAATAATAGAATAGAATATAACGCGATATTTTTTTTTTATTTTATTTTCGACACATTCATTTTTTTATTATATCTTTTGTTTTTTTGTAATGGTCGATAATATCGTCGTAAAATATTATACGATTATTTAGTGTTGAATAAACTAATTGTTTCAGTTGCGTATTAATTATCTTCAATAACCTCAATTTTACGATTTGATCACGATTGATTAAAGAGTGAATTAATTTTTTGTTTTCTAAATTTCTTATTTGTTATTATTCGATATATTTTCAGCTTCTCTATTCGTAAGAAAACCTCTCGTTGAAATTGGAACTCGTCTTTTATCTTCCATGGCTCAAGCGTTGCAAACTCATGGTGTCGTACCCGACGTTATAGATAAGGTTCCAGAAAATATTTTAAAGGTTACTTATCCGAATCAAATTTCCGTTGATATTGGCAAAGTGTTAACACCAACTCAGGTTAAAGATAAACCTAATGTTACATGGGATGGTGATACGAATACTTATTATACTCTTTGCATGACTGGTAAGTCTTTCATCCCATTGAAATTTTTAATTAACAATTACTTAGATTTAAGAATCGAATCAATTTATTGTATTTTGCTCATAGATCCAGATGCACCAAGTCGTAAAAATCCAAAATTCCGTGAATGGCATCATTGGCTAATAGGAAATATCCCTGGTTCGGAAATTGCCAAAGGAGATGTCCTTTCTGATTATATTGGTTCAGGTCCACCAAAAGACACAGGACTTCATCGTTATGTGTTTCTGTTATATAAACAACCTGGAAAACTTACGTTCGATGAACGTCGTCTAACTAATCGAAGCGGACAGAATCGTGGAAATTTTTCCATTCGAAAATTCGCTACAAAATACAAATTAGGTGATCCTATTGCAGCAAATATGTATCAGGCGGAATTCGATGATTATGTTCCGCTTCTCTACAAGCAACTTGAAGGCTAAAAATATTTATATATAGATTCTTAAATATCAGTACGCAACAAAAATATCATATTATATTTTATATTAAACGATTGTGAACGTTTATGTAGTACCAATTTCTTTTCTTATTATCCTAATATAATGCTTGTATACATATATGCATTTACAATGCAGGAAAATAAATGAAATAATAATGTATTATTGCATTTCTTGATCGATTACATTTTATTCTATTATTTATATAATACTTATATTATTTATATTATATTATAATACTTATATTATAAAATATAAGTATTACCCGATAACTAAAATTTTTCCAAATCGTTTGATAATATTCAGAATCGGTTATCTGGTATTCATTTCGTATCTATGTATACTAAGATACTATTTAATAGCAAGAAGATTTTCAAAAGAGAGAAGATTGTGAGAAGAGAAATGTTACGAAATGTTTAAGAGGATACGAAAGTTGATAGAAAGTGGGGATGAGTGGGGATTGTTTGACGACAAATGAAAAGAAAAGGATACGAATTCTTGTCAGGTTATAAGTTAAAGGAGGGGGAATAGACTGTGAAATAAAACGTTTCATCAGAGTCAAGCATGTCATAGTTCGACGAAACTAAGTGCGATGATAACAAAGATGAAATACTTTATGATACTAGGTATTGTTATTTATTCTTAAGAATGAAGCGGGAATTCAATTAGTTTGGTTAATTTCGTTCATTGTGTGTTAAATATGATATAAAAATATGTTGCAGGAATTCTCGCCTGCAGTATCCACATTATCACGGCTAAGGATACTCGTACGGAATTTGAAAAAGCGTTGATTGTACCGAATATATTAGACGTAGCACCGGTGGAGAAAATCGAGGTGCAGTTTTCATTGATAATCGTAGTTAATGTTGGAATATATGCGTGTATATGTGTATACGTGTTTGTGTATGAATCAAACTGTTCCTAATTATAAATATATTTGTTATACATACATATTGTATACATAGATATTTGTTTTTATCATCGCATTGCGAATGAATTAGATTAAATCTACAAATTCAACGTATATAATAATATATATAATAAAAATTTATATTGCAATAATTCAGATATGAATTTGAATTAGGTGAAATATGGGGACAAGAGTGTTGATTTGGGAAATGAATTAACTCCAACAGAAACACGACAGATTCCAGAAATTCATTATAAACACGAAGGAGGTGTACTTTACACGTTAGTAATGACAGGTAAGCTTGATAGACTAATTCAAAAAATAATTTTTTGAATTTAGTGTTATTATTATTTAATGAATTTAAAGTTTATTTAAAAATTAAAATTAATTTTAATTCGTTTTTAAAAAAGAACATGGTATTACATATATAAATACTGTATTATTTTATCCTAGTGGAATTCTCGATGTTTGTCATTCGACTTGGTGAAAGTCGATGCGGACAAACCTGTTTCTTTCATACACTGGTTCTTGTTTGCCGTTCAGTTGATGATTTAGCGATCGATATATAGTATTAAACTATTTGATCGATATAACTATTAAAATGTAAATGATGATAAAGAAGATAGAATTATGTTTTGTTATTCCTCAGATCCTGATGTACCGACTAGAAAAGGATATAATAGAGAATTTCGACACTGGTTGGTCGGAAATATTCCGGAAGAGAATATTGCCAAAGGAGAAGTATTAGCTGAATACGTTGGCCCAGCGCCGCCAAAAAATACTGGGAAACATCGATACGTTTTTCTCGTTTATAAACAGACTCAAGGATCCATTACGTTCGACGAGAGAAGGTTAAGCAACAGGTAAAATTGAGTTTTTGTCAATCGTTTTCACATGATTTTTAATCGCATCATATTTACATCGGTTTTGTACATGAATTTCAGAGATGGTCCTCAGCGAAAGCGGTTCAACGTAAAGAAGTTTGCAGAAAAATATAATCTGGAGGGTCCAATAGCAGGAAACTTCATGAGAGTTGAATATGATGATAATGTGCCCGCGTACGCGAAGCTCTTAGGATTTTAAGGATCTCAAGCAATTTTAAATCTTTAACAATTAATTAACAAAGGATATTCTTTTTATTAATATTCAGGTGATGGTACGAACATATTGCTTGTACAAACATGACTACCGATCTATAATGAAGAACGGTGAAATGATATTAATAAATGTTTCATAAGACAATAGATAGGAGAAAAATCCGTCGATTCCTTTATTTTTCGTTGATTCTTGTTACAAATATAAAACGTATTCTATATAGATTTCGCAACTCGTGGATGGCTTTGGTTAGCTCTTGATTTTCCAAGTTTATAAATCTGGATCATCTCGAGCGGAGTATGTTGCTGGTCTCGTAGTTTCTTTTTACCAATATTTGAATTGGTTAACAAATTTGGTAAACAGATATCGATAATAATATCCATTTATCATATTGCATACAATGACTAGAGTATGTGACAAGCGTGTTTCTCTATATGCAAAAATTTTTTGAGAGTTCGCCAACTGGTCAAGTTCGTTAAAAAGCTGAGAGATAAACGCAAAACATGCTTCTCGTTTTCATCGCAATAATCGATTGCTAAGTTTAGTACGAACATAAAAAGTAAGTACGCTGCTAAGGATATTATACACTTCAATAACAAATTGTAGGATATCGATATCGATAACTCGTCGACGCGAAGGAACTTGCTTCTTGGAAACGAGCATGTTTCATTAGAGATAAAACAATGAACGATGCAAGGATAAAAATGGGATGGGAGCGAGGCACACGAGATTTTGGAACAATTGGGACAAAGAAGAAACAGGAGGGGAAGTGGGAGGGCAGAAGGAAATAGGCAAGGAGATAAAAGAGATAATGGAGAAAAAAGAAGAAAAAGGGAAGTTAAATCGGTGGAGAGATTTGATCTCACGGTAAAACGAGATCCGGATAAACAGTAATGTTCCAACAAAGCCGATGATCCCGTGTGTCGCCCCATCCGCCGTTACCTTTTCTAAGTTTCGTCTTTTTCGCAGTACCAGCTACAGTAAGTGTCAATTGAGTAGGAAAAAGATGTTCTTGGGCAGCTTTTAGAATGTTTTGAACCTTTGCTATCACAGCGGTCGATTCACAATTGGTCTTCTTATGATGGACTCCGCTGGTATTGACAACATTCACAATACAAACTTCATATTCATAACAATATATGGGAAAAATAAAGGAGAGACGACTTACCATTCTCCGATGTGAAAAACCCTAGGCGCTCTCATCATCATCGTGATCAAACCGGATTCCGTACGAGGCGCGATTCCAGGTCCTTTACTAGGAGGCAGACAGGTTTGCGCGATATGTTGAAGGCTCCAATCCCAATTGTAATCATCGTACGAGCAAAATTGAGCGGCACACTTTCTCAATTTGTTCCACGTGACACGATTGAACGCCATACCCATGTTATGCTTGCTCGAGATCCAAGGGATCACTTCAGCCTAAACGGAATACGATAAAGGCAATTTTTCTTTTGTATGAAATGTAATAACACCTAATATCGTGATTTAGGATTATTAAGATGAAAAAGAAAATCGCGGAACGATCGGTGCGCGTGAGCGCGTGCGCGCACGCGCGTGGATATTATCGTGCATCATTAACGTTTCAACTCACTACGCGGCGCACCAGTTGTCGTTATTGAACAATTAAACATTATTGAACAATGTCGAACATTTTTACAAGTAAGTAGTTTTACAAAAAAATTTTCCTTCTGTCGAATTATATCATATGATTTGAGAGTTAGATTGGCGAAGCGATGTCACGATATTGCATCGTTATTAGTAAACGAAACGAATTTGTAAAGCGAACAAATTTTAGAGGGAAAAGCTGAGAAAGCGACGACGCGTGCGTGCGCACGTGCGCGGCTGACTCGATAGAAAGAGAGAAGAGATGGAGAGAATTGCGCGCATAACGGACGCTCGTCGAAAGATGTCGGCAACCTTTTGATAATGATTGTAGAGTTCGGGTAGGAGCTGGAAAGCCCATGCAGAGGCGGATTGCATTGTCTGTACGTTCCGTGCGACGGACACGAAGGCGGCAGCACCAGTGCTGCTATTGATGCTATTTCCAGTAACGGTGTTGTTCCTGCCGTTGCTCATTCCCGTAGGAGTGCTATTGCTGGTGCTGCTGGTACTGCTGCTGCTGCTGCCACTGCTGCTGGTGCTCGGAAATATACCGATTCTTCCACCGCCGCTGCCAACGATGTCTTCGGCTTTTGCTGAATGTTGCCTCGTCGATGTCTCCCATCTCTTTAATCCACGTAGTAGCTCCTTTTGGAGGGCGCTGTTGACGCCAAGGAACTAACGGATGAGGCGTGCGTGAAACATCGACACACAGATATTCAGACTGAAATCGAACTCGATATGCATCCAACGATTCTTACGCGATCGCGGTTTCGTTACAATGAACAATTTTTTCCCTATCTTTCGTGCAGCTACGTAACTTTATTCCCAATCCTTTTCGATCTATTCCTACCGTTAATTATCTATCTCTCCTTCCCTTTTGTAATATAATTAATCTTGTTGAATGAAAAAGAGGAGCGGGATAGATAAGAGCAGAGCATAGCAAGAAGAGAGAAAGAGAGAGAAAGAGAGAAAGAAAGCGCACATATTAGATCAAACAATCGACTCACGAAAATCACAATGATCGAACCATCGAAGAAAGAAGGAATCACGCGAATTGAGGATTCGAGCAATGAATATACTATTCCAATTATTCATATATATATATATATATATATATATATATACATATATATATGATACATATATGATATATATATGATATATATATACATATATTTGTTAGGGAAGGAGTCGTAGAGTTCGCGCACCGAACGAATAAAGCGAGTAAAGTGGTTGGAACGATTTGAACGATTTGAGCGATTAGATATATTAGAGCGGTTAGAGTGATTGGCGAGATGATTAGTGCGATGTGCGCGAGTTTCTCACCTTTCGGCTGAAGTCGGCAAAATAATTATAAGTTTTGAGATAGGTGCCCAAGGATAGGACGTTGCATCTTTTACAGGTGTGTTTACAGGTACGTTCCATCAGCCTAAGAACGTGTAGGAAATCCTCGGCAACGTAATGATCCTCCTCGAGAAAGAGAACCATACCGGTATGATTCTTGGTAATGGACAATTGATCGAAGACGCGATTTGCTTTCCACCACCAATGATGTTTCGTCTGCGTAAATTTTGCTTCTCTATAGTGTCCATACAGATCCGGATGCTTGGCATTGATGCAACCAAGATTGAGAGCTCTGCGTGATAAGAGCAATGTAAAGTGAAGAAATAATGGGAAATAAAACGTGGAATTATTAAATTTATTACGATCGATCGTTCGAGACGAGTAGCATAATCGATAAAAAAAAAAAAAGAAAAGAGATTATTACTCACTGTTCTTTTCGTATGTTTCGAGGACAATCGTTCGGATCTTCGCCTGGAAAACTTCGTGGATGAGTTTGTATGCTGTGGGGATAAAATATTTGCATGACGCGACAAAAGTCGACACTCTGTACGAGATAATTGATGTCCGGATGCCAGACGTCGTGACTGAAGACCAGAAGGGTTTGCTCGATCCCTTTCGCTTGGGCCAACGACACTATCAGGTGTCTGAGGTAGGTGAGTCTCGTGTGCACCTGAATCACTATTATAGGAGCGTCGCTAGCCAACGGACCGAACGACTCCTCGTTGTACACTCTTTGCTCGTTGTTCGCTTTTTCTATGTTACGACGAATTTCCGTTATTTCGAACTCGGTTAACATTTCCGTGCTTGCGTTCATTAACGTCGAGGAAGAACCATTTCGACGATCTTTCAGAAACCTGGAAGAATAACTCTTTTTCTTTTTCTCCTTCATTTCTTTTTCCCCACTTCCTCTTTTTTTTTTTTTTTTTTTTTTTTTTTTTTTTTTTGTTTTTCTTTTTCATCGCTTATCTTTCTCTTTTTCTTTGTCTTTGTACAAACGACTTCTCGGCGGAAACACGCGCGTTTGCACGGCCCGATTTACCTATGTAATTCTTGCGGTACGAGGGCGAACAGCGTCTCGTTCGACGAAGCTTGTCCAGAGGAGTCTCGACCGGTCAGGCTGATCACATGGATTTGAAGCCACAGGAACGTTGCCATGAAGACGAAGACGAGCGTCCTCAGGAAAGTTCCGCGAACCGATCTGATCGTCCCCAGAAACGCCACTCCTACGCAACAAATGAAGGAATAGATAATTGTTAACAAAAGTAATAAAAATAATAATAAATAAAAATAAATATATGCGCGAACGCGTACTTCATTATCATGTTGTAATGAATCAACATTTTCTCATTTACCTCTCATTCTGGCATTTCTACGCGTCCGGTCTGCAAGAAGAAAGACATTGATTAATTGCTTGGTTATAAATTTATATATTTTTTTTTTTTTTTTTTTTTTTTGCTTACATAAAAAAATTAATCTCGTTACCTCGTATCGGAGAAAAGGCGCGACGGATGGTCCCTCATTTCGACGAAATCTGCGAAAAAAAGAAAAGTATGCGAGAATTGGTTGGAAAAAAAAAAGAGAACTATACCGTTTACATACTTGTTCTTTCTCATATTTTACGATTCCGACCATGACGAGAATGACAACGAAGGAATGAATTCGTTGGTAATAATAGTTTACCAGCGTAAAACGCGAGATTAAAAGAGTCGCGTCGAAAGAGGGGCGTTTACTACTGTATTGAAATCTCAGTTATTATCGGCCGCTAGAAATCAGAGTTTAATTTCCAGAACGCAATGTGTCGACTCGGTGCTATCGTTTCGTCGATATTTCGTATTGTTCGTTGCTTTGTCACTATGTATGTATATACCTACCGTTGATTCGTAGCGGCGAAGAGTAGAACTATAAATCGCGTTCCGAACGCGCAATAGAGAGTACACACCGATAAAAAAACCAATTCTCTAACCACGATTAATCGATCGTATCTGTTCTTCTTCTTCTTCTTCTTCTTCTTCTTCTTTTTTTTCCTCGGGTGTTCGCGTGCCGGTTTTTTCCGGTCTTTGCTACCAGCTCGCGATCGGTTTCACGGAACGTCATGAAAGTTACAGAGGAGAACGTGTTTTCTCGCCTTCGAGCGGACCGACGACAATTTCTTTCCGCCGATTTTTCTTCTTTTTATAGAAGCATGCACGAAAGACGATGCTTCAACATTAACTTATTTTTAGTACGGCACGCGGACTTGTAGAAAATTGGAAGGGGAGAAGGAAGTGGAGAAGGAGAAGAAGTGGCGGAGGTAACGGAGAAGGAGAAGGAAAAGGAGAAAGGGGAGGAAGAGAATGAGCGGAGAGTTAATCGCATTAGCAGATGATGCCATCAATCAAAAACATTTCTGATGTCTGATAGCTTACTTGATTGACCTTGATCGCTGATTATCATATATTATTTTTTCATTGCTGCGTCGTATAATTTTATCACGTGTTAAAAACAAAAAGAAAAAAAAAATCATTGCTTCCGACTTTGGAATTGTTATTCCAAAGAAAACAAAAGAGAAAACAACGAAGGAAAAAAATGAACGTGATTGAATTCGTTTTAATAGTTATAACAATATTATTAATTGATAATTGGCGCGCGGAATTTTTTCAAGTTGCACACGTTGATTCTCGATGGTATGTCAATTTGAATAATTTCGATAAAGTGAACGGAAAAATAAAAAGACGAACAAAAGAATTGGTAATAGAGATTATATTAATTATAATGATCGACGAACCGTACCGGTTTTGATAGCGACGATGACGATGTTGACGACGACGACGACGACGACGACGACGACGACGGCGATGACGACGACGACGACGAGTCTCTCTGTAGGAATCGCGAGTGATTTTCCGCAGATGAACATCGAGTGGCTCGATATTTCATTTTGCTTGGTACCTAGCCAATATAGGTCAGCTGAGTTAGCTGGTTGACGCGAAACAATGCGGATATCCGTGAGCAAGTTAACTGCGATATCTCCTTCTTACGAAGCGGTGGAATATCGTAAGAGAAGAAGAGAGAAATAGCGAGCTACTCGACACAGAAGCAGCACGAGCAACGATAAAATACTTTAAACTTTCTCGTTTCCTTTTTGCTCCTTGACGTTTGCTTAGACCGCATCTTTGTTTTCGCCAATCTCGTTCATGCCTTCAACCGCGGCTATTCTATATATCGTCTCGAACACTCCGCATCGTATTCTCTTCTCTTTCTTGTCCGTTGCATTTCTCTTTTCTCTTTCCTTCTCCATCCACTTCCCTCTCCCCCACCTCCCTCTCTCCTTCACTTTCCTTCTTCCTTTTCCTTTCTTTTTTCTCACCCTCTTACGCTCCTCCTTGTTCTTATCTTTCTCAGATCAGAATCTCAAAACGAAACTTGAAACTTTATACACTTTTGCGCCACTTCGGTATCCAAGGTGTTGTCGAGATTTTGTCACAGCACTTTTTTACCCTCGGTAACAATGGAACGTGTTCGGTTTTACCAGCTCTACCGATCCACTATTTCTCGCGGGAACACAAATACAACACAAATACTCATGATTACGTGTAGCAACGCGAACGGGTCGCTAACGATACGCTTGCATACGCCGTTACGTATCGTGAGACGACTAATTCACTTCACGCGCAAATGCAAACAACTGGACTCTACTCGGTCACGCGCCAGTTTCAAGGTAAACCGGAAAACTCTGTTTCTTGCGCCGCCTTGCGGTTCCTTAACTGCGATCGTTTTTCTTATTACATATATATATACATACATATATATGTATAGAAGGGTAGAGGAGTGAGAGAATGAGTGAATGAATAAATGATTGAATGTGCGTGCGAGAATAGAAAGAAGGAATAATATGATACTAGAAAAGACAGAAAAGATAAAAACAATGTGGGTCGCGAGACAACAGTGTCATGGGGGGAAAAAGTTGGAAACGAGAAAGGGTGACGAATGAAGGGAAACCTCGTGGAAATACAAAGAGAATGGTAGGGGTTTAGTACGCGCATATACGTAGAAAAGGGAAGCGAGAGAGAGACAGAGAGAGAGAGAGAGAAGGAGGGAGAAAGAGAGAATCAGCGAGGTTGGTGTATCGATCAGAGTAGCAGGTCTGGGACAAAAGCTCAGGCTCAGATATGGACTTGAAGTCGGTAGCCATGGTCTGGAAAACGATGCTCTCTCGTATCAGCGATCAACCGACAAACATTAGCTTCTTTTCTTTACTTACGTAGGTCCACCGTCTTCCAAGGTTTCAAGGTCGCGTAACAATTTTACGACCGCACGAGTCAGGCGTTCGACCCGATCATGTTTCGAGAAGCGTGTCAGAATAGATCGCGAGAAATACGAGATGGGAGTAGCGATGACGAGTCATTGCGATTTGTCGCAGAATTTATTTCATTCGATACACAGTTTCCTTTTATCCTTTTCTTTTTCTTTCCTTCTTTCCTCCCTTTCTTTCTTCTTTTCTTTATCCTTTTTTTCCTTGCGTTTTCGCGTCAATTCGATCACCGTTCGCGTGACTATCGCCTGAAACTGCGATCGCAATGGCTTTCTAGAAGAGCAGGGCGAACGCGCGACCGCGCGATCGCGACTCCACCCACCCTTCTCTGCTTTTCCTCTTCATGTACACCACTACTTTACACGTCGTTCTCGTTCCATGCGGCTACGTTCACACGGGGGTGCGATTTCTACGGAGACTCGATCGATCTTTCCGTTCCGCCATCCCTCGTCGGAAACGGACGTCGTTGCTCGAGCGCCACTGTTCTTGTCCATCGACGTCTACGTCGATAACTATGTATGTTATTCTTCCTCCATGGATAATATCTTTTTCTCATTTTTTATGATAAATCGCAAATATCCACCTTTTTCCTTCTGATTCTTTTCGTTTTTTCTTCTCGTATTCCTGTATATAGTCATAAAAAAAGATTCAACCATCGTTATTCTCGTCAACTTGTTTAATATGTTATTCAATTGAATAATTTCTTCGAAACACTTTTTTTTCATGAAAAATATTTTTAAAAATAATTTTTAAAAGTTTTATTCTCAAATGTATTTGCATCCTTAAATTATCACGATATGTATATGTTATCATTTTAGAGATTACATATAAAATGTGAACAAGATTGTTTCTCAATTTCATGATTCTACACGGTTTTGAATCTGTAGCACTTTTTTTTGTAACGTTGGGCTCGCATGCAATGCCACGCGATCTTGCGTGTTTTATATGAAATTTCACAAAATCGGAAAACTTTGACTTTACTTCCCTGTCGATAATAATAGGTGTCCGAATAAATGCCCCTTCCCGCATCTCGGGTCTAATGTTACACCGTTATCTGTTGACGTTGAGTTTGTGAACACGAGTTGTACATTCCCACGCGTTCTATTAACTTTTTGTGAAAGCACACAAAAGAAAGAAAGAAAGAAAGAAATTATTCACGAACTTTGCTAGATCAAGAAAGACCAGCGAGAAATCACGAGACAGGAGAAATTTCGGTAAAGTTCGAAGAAACAAAAGCTAGGTATGATCGACGAGAAAACGAAACGCGAATTCGATAAAACGATCGATTTGAATTTGTTTCTTCTGAAATTATGTGGTATTGTTTCGTGTGGAGATGGATTCGCAAATAGAAATATTTTGGCCTGGCTCGCGTTCAGTTGTCTAACAATCTACAGTATTTCATACGTGCATGAATTCATAACAAATACCACTAATCTGACCACTGCTCTCGAATCAGTCGCGATGATCATTTCAATTGTAGGTGGTCACGCGCGATATACGATCTTATTATGGTTTCGTGATATTTGCCAAACAATGTTAAATGTTTGTGAGATTTTCTGGTCTAATCTGAAGCCGCATGAGAAAAAAATCGTTCAAAGTTATACAAGAAAAACGACAAGATTGACACGTTGGTATTTGGCCTCTTGTGTTCTCACTATCGCGTTTTATGCTTTTTTGGTTCTTTTCGGATCTTTGTTCGATCAATCGAAAGATTTCGAACATATTATGAGAAACGATAGTGGCCTCGTTCCGTCGGAAGCCGAAAATGTTTTGGAATCAACGAACAAGCGACATTTACCGTATGCATTTTTTCTTGATGTACAGAAAACACCATGGTACGAGATCGTCTATGCTCTTCAATTAATCAGCATGTTTAATGTCGGTTTTACTTGTGTTGGTGTGGATACTGTCGGTGCTTTGTTCATTTTGATCACTTGTGGTTACTTCGATACGATTCAATCGAGAATTGAAAATTTACACTCGTTCGATACATCGTTGTCGTCATCGTTATCGTTGTTGAATATATTATCAAGAAAAATAACGACAGCGAAAATGTCGGATATTAAAACAGAGACATCAAACAGTGTACAAGTGAAAAATTTGCGAATGTGCGTAATTCATCATCAATTATTATTGAAGTGAGTACGATTCATATGTTTTATTTATCTTTATTCTATTTTCTAACGCTGTATATTTTTATCTTTCGTTCTTTATCAAGTAGATTTTGTGAGGACATTGAACATCTGACGAGCGGAATGTTTTTTATTCAAGTAATCGCTAGTACATATAATATTTCATTGGTTGGCTTTAAATTGCTCGAAGTAAGTATTTTTTATTTTTTATTTTTTTTTTTATTATCTTTTTATATTACGATAACGTTGTTATATTTGGTAAACAGGACACTCCGGACAAATTCAAATATATTACGCAACTCATAATCCTCATTATTCAACTTTTTCTTTGTAATTGGCCGGCGGATCTTCTTCTTTCAAAGGTAAATCGTATTAAACGATAATATTGATTTTTTTTTAACACATTTTCCGTTTTTCAGAGTGTAGATATTAGCCGAGCCACATATTCAATGCCTTGGTATGGGTATTCCTATAATCTACAGAAAATAACGAATATACTTATGGTCAGAAGTCAAAAAGCAGTTCGCTTAACAGCTGGAAAATTCATCGGGCTTTCACTGGAAACATTTGCCTCTGTATTTCATCCTCTCTTCTTTTTCTTTCTCCATCTCTTCTCCCTTTTTTGATATTTTTCTTTCTTTTTTTTAGATGATATCCACCGCTGCCTCATTTTTCACCATGGTTCGAAGTATGAATTAAAACTCGTTTTATAAAACGAAGAATATCATCCAAGATGCACCATTTTCTTCTCTTCATCCGTTCATTCGCTGGTTCGTTGATCCAATGGACATTATATCAATGTTTTTGAGCGAATATGAATAGATGGCTAATCGAATAAACGATTGCCTTATACCTATCAATCAATCAATTTTCACATCTTTTTTCGATTGTTTTTTTTCGATCGAAAAGATGAAATATAAGTTAAAACAAAAAAGAAAGAGGAATAATAGGCGTAAAGAGTCAATTCAAAGAATAAGAAAGAAAAAGCATAGTCGACAGGAGAAAGGATTTCGATGTAATCGATCGTTCGAGTTAAAACGTTTCGCGCGTTCCGTTCTCGCGTGTTTCGATTCGTGGCGAATTGAATATCTGTAAAAAAAGAAGAAGAAGAAGAAGAAGAAGATTTCGTCAAATCGAAATGAGTAATATCAAACTTGTATATGATATTTTGAATTGAAACGTTTTAATTGATGAAATGAGTAATATCAGACTTGTATATAATATTTTGAATTGAAACGTTTTAATTGAATCGTGAAAATATCTAGATATTAGCGGTCGCGGTGTATGTACGAACAAACACTTCTGCTTCTTCGAATATTGGCCGAAAGAAAGAAAACCACGTTTTTCTTCGTCGACGATAGTTGCAGGAGCTGCGTTCGATAAATCTTATTGGCCTCCCTATCGATGATCACGTCTCTCCGTTCGCTGTGTTCCTTCTTTTTTTTTTTTAATCCTTCTGATCGATAAGTACAGCATTTTCGGTTATAAATCGTTAGTCGCAATATCTCCAGAAGATCGTTACGTCAAGTTATGACTTGATAAGAGATATGCCTATAAAAGTGTATACTGTGAAAGGAAAGAAAGAGGATAAAATAAAGGGAGGAAAGAAACGGATAGACGAGTGGTTGGTGAATGCCAGAGCGTTTCTTCGGACCTAGATTCTTCGACAATTACCGGTTAAGTGAGTTTTTCTGTAATCCTATGATATCCGGGATTTCGTCGCGAGATTTTATCCAGGCATCGGTCTTATGATTACTGTCAACGCGATACTTCGACTCGAACCGCTTGAATTGCATCGGATTCTTTCTAGTCAGGACAAATTGTGAGAATATATAAAATAGAAATCGCGAACGAACGGCGAACAGATTGTTCGAAAAGATTGAAAGGAATCTGGTGGAGGGAGCTATCGCTAATACCGCTGCCACTTCCGTTACCGGTTCCGTCACCGCTGCCGCTGTCGCGATCCGTTTTCCTTCTCGAATTAATTACGCAGCAGATAGGAATAGCGAGATAAAGGAGCGTCTGTCGCGGACAGGCCTTCTATCTCGTTCTAGGTCGGAATTGGTGAACGTCTTTGGCCGTTCTCGACGCCGCGCCGCAATTGAGCAACCGTGGAAGGGAGCCGAGAAGTATGTAGTCGAGAAGAATCGGAATTGGTCGAGAAGCAGCCGGAAGATCGAACGAGAATGAGTTCGCCGTGTGAGTGTTCCCGGTTTAGCAACAAGTTGCAGCTGGTGTGCGTTTTCCCTGGAGTTTCCTAAAATCAACAAGTGAATTCGCTTTCCTGCTTGGAATTTCTATATCGCTCTCAGCTCTACAGGTGGTGATGTGATACAGGTAATATGATTTGTATAGATATGTTTGTCTATTATTATTATTTCTGTCTTATTCATTATTTATATTAATTATATTATTTAAATTAGATACGGATAAACGACCGCACGTCATATGTTAAATTCAAGAAGTGGATGCGGCCTGAGACTTAACGAAGCGTAAATCATTATTGCAGAGATTAAATTCTTACAATACATAAGAACCATAAGAGTGATCTCCAACTGGAGAGCTATTTTATGTCAGCTTGCCTGATAGATCTGAACAGCAAGTGCATTGCATAAGTTTAGAACACTGTCGTAATTACAAAAAAAATATATCCTTTTCGTTTCTTATTTCTTATTTCTAATAGGTAATTCTAGATTATTATTATCATTGTTATTTATATCAAGTGTCAAAATTTTTCAACGGAACCACCCCTCGTGGACAACCGCGTATAGAACATTGTCGTAATTATAAAAAAATTATTCTTTTCGTTTCTTATTTCTTATTTCTTATTTCTAATTTCTAAAGGTAATTCTAGATTATTATTATCATTGTTATTTATATCAAGTGTCCAAATTTTTCAACGGAACCACCCCTCGTGGACAACCGCGTATAAAACATTGTCGTAATTACAAAAAAATTATTCTTTTCGTTTCTTATTTCTTATTTCTTATTTCTAATTTCTAAAGGTAATTTTAGATTATTATTATCATTGTTATTTATATCAAGTATCAAAATTTTTCAATGAAACCACCCCTCGTGGACAACCGCGTATAAAACATTGTCATAATTACAAAAAAAATATATCCTTTTCGTTTCTTATTTCTTATTTCTAATAAGTAATTCTAGATTATTATTATCATTGTTATTTATATCAAGTGTTCAAATTTTTCAACGGAACCACCCCTCGTGGACAACCGCGTATAAAACATTGTCGTAATTACAAAAAAATTATTCTTTTCGTTTCTTATTTCTTATTTCTTATTTCTAATTTCTAAAGGTAATTTTAGATTATTATTATCATTGTTATTTACATCAAGTGTCAAAATTTTTCAACGGAACCACCCCTCGTGGACAACCGCGTATAAAACATTGTCGTAATTACAAAAAAAATATTCTTTTCGTTTCTTATTTTTTATTTCTAATAGGCAATTCTAGATTATTATTTTCATTGTTATTTATATCAAGTGTCAAAATTTTTCAACGGAACCACCCCTCGTGGACAACCGCGTATTCGATCGATCGCGTTTCCTGGAGAGCTGCGTGGCTAACGGGTGAAAAAAAGTTGAAGAAGGCTGGAACGTGATAAAAGCCGGTTTAATAAAGCGCGCCGCCTCTACGCGTTCACATATCGAGAATTCTAGGAAAGCTTGGCGTTCCTTTCGATCTCGGGCCGCATTCCCTTCGTCCACTATCCGTCTTTTCATTCCTTTACCACCCCTTACATCTTAATCTTAATAGCGTTCTCTCGCCGAATACCTCGCCATTCTCCCTCCATTCTTTTTTCATCTATCTTGACAAGCCATCGTTTGGTTTTATTTTTCGGCCATTTTCGGCACAATTTCTTTATTTTTCATCGTTAGAAATCATGTTTAAACCCAAGAAACGAAAATTATGCGTTGATTCTCTCGATAGAAATATCAAACGATATTATTCATTATTCCTGTATTATTATAAATCTCGCAAAAAATTCGAATATCATTTTCAACGACTTCATATGATTTTCGTTGAATAATTAACAGCGAAAAATGAAAGAAACACTTTGCGACGATTAATTTTACAGTGGAGTATCTCAAACAAAATCTGAAATGTATTAAACGTAAGTTTTCTTCGTTATTAGAAAATAATCTAATACAATTCCGATCTCTTCCTAGCTCACAGTTCTGTCGTAGGTTGTGAAACGGAAACCTAGGGGTGTGGAATCGGATCGCGATCGATGCTAGATGTTGAGAAAGACAGGAGAAGACGCGACCAAGTGCATCAGAGGAGAGGAAAGGAAAGGAAAGGAAAGGAAAGGAAAGGAAGGAAAAGTGAGATGGAAGCGAGTGAGCGTACGGATGGAGAGAAGAAAAGAAGGATGGGAGGACAAGTTGGAGAAGAGATGACGAGGAGAATAGGTAGGGATGAATGGGGTGCGTGGGTAGGGACAGGGTTAACGCGGAAGCGAAGAGAAGCGTTAAAGGGGCGGGAGCGAGGGGTGGAAGTGGGGGCCTCCGGAGGCGCTGTGGACCATGCGCTTTCGTGCCCCAGCGAAGGGACTTTGGATCTTCGAGGATCGAGAAGAGAGGTGACGGGGCAAAGAAGTGGCAGAGGCGCGAACGTGGAGCTGGCCGCGAACGCGAAAGCGAATGCGGACGGCGACGGTGGGCAGAGAGTGCGGCCGAACCCCGAGTCGGAAAAATCGGGGTGAGATGCACCCTCGCCACCATCCTCGCTCTCAATCGGCCGCGGCGCTTCCACCTGGGAGCACGGCTTCTCTTCCTCGTTAACCGGCTCTTCATCCCAACCGGCCGTTCACCACCGATCTCCACCAACTCTTCGCCTTTCCATTGCTGATTCGATCGGCTTTGTCGTATCTCGAAACATCATAGGTAAGAAATTCTGATTTCTTTAATAAATTATTCTTTGCCTCAACATCTTAATTTCTTCTGGAATGTTGTTTGCTTTTTTTTTTATTTACATCTCTGTTACATTTCGAATCGGCGCAAATCGTGACTAAGAACAACTTTGAAGTAGTTGAAGTAATCGTGAATAATTTTTTGATCGAAAGAAGTAGGAAGGAAGGAAGGAAGGAAGGAAGAAGAGAGAGAGAGAGAGAGAAAAAAAATGGAAAGTGGCATGATTTAACGATAATAACGTGGCTTGTATCACTCTGTTCTATTTAAAAATCGGTGAAAGAGGTCTCGTTTATTTTGAAATATGTTACTTACTCGTTAAATTTCCGTTTGTCTCGTGTTGGATTACGTTATATCGCGTAGCTCTCTAATCACGGGGGACACCTCGAGTTTAAAGCTCGGTCTCGATTCACACTCGAGGCTGTACCCTCATTTCCGCGTGTCGTTCGCAGCTCCGCCTTTGGATTCTATTCACGCGAAACGCACGGCACGAAAAACCTATTCTTAACTTTGACATTCGCTTTGCGACCGATAAATTTGAATAATGAAAAACCATCGTTGTTTATCTTATCTTATTTGACTAATAACTTATTATTCTAATACGCGTTAAGAATGACTCGACGCGAAGGTATCGGGTATTTCGATAACAGGCCGAAAGGAAAAGAGTTGCCGGTATCAAGCTCGCGAGGTTAATAGAGCGATAGGTAACAAGGTTATAAAGCAATCTGCATAACCCTGGTTGGTACTTTGCTCGGCTACAGGGGCTGTCCCGTAGCACTGCGAGCGGTCTCGTAATTACCAGGTATAATACGATTACCCGATCGCCAGACCCGCCGTAACTGAGAAGGCAGTTCCTTCGAACCCGCTCTTTACTCTTCCTTTCCTTTTCCTATCTATCTTTTACCTCTTTCTCTTTTTATATATCCCTTTCCAATTCTCCCCTCGGTGTTTCCTCTTCTATACCTATTCTTTTTCTAGTTTTCCTTATTTTTCTTCTTTTCCATTTTCAAATCTTCTCTCTTCCTGGAATCTATCCCAAATCAAAAAAAAAAAAAAAAAAGAAAGATTGGTCAATCCACCATTTCTCCATGAAACGGGTGTGCGAAGTAGAGCATATCCCAGATTCTCGTAAATTCATTTAAACGACGTCACAACTGTAATTTTATTTCCGTTTGCATTCAATCGCAACGCGTTTCCACTTCCATCCCTTTCCCCCTCCATTCCCCCTTTTTATTGCCTCTATTGGCGAATCAGGATCGCAATTTCTCGTATGCCGTATCGCGTTCTGTTCTGATCGCTATTAAGCAGGGATCTTCGATGTATATCTCCGCTATATTTTAGTTGGCGTAGCTACATGTAGCAATTTGTACGATACTCGATTCGATTTCATTTCGACTCGTGTCCCTTTCTTTCTCGTGTCCTCCTTTTCTTCTTTCCATCTTTTTTTGTTTTGCCCGTTTCTCTTTCGTTCGCGAAAACATACATATACATTTATTATAGAAAGTGTGTGCAACGATGGTCGAAACTCGCGATAAATATATATATATGTATAAGTGCGACAATGACGCCGACACGCTCAACGGAACGCAACGGATCGTCTCGACACTTAGTTTAAGCTCGTTATTCCGGCTTAGCAATCGCCCTTCTCCTCGCCACTTCGTCTCGTCCATCTTTCCGCCACGCATAAACATCCCCGATAACATTGGGTGCCCTCGTTCACTTTGAACGACATAACAGTGTAAACGTTGAACTATTTCAATGCATGTGAGAGAGTGAAAAAAGACAGAGAGAGAGAGGGAGAGCAATAACGAGTTTATAAAACCAGGAGAAAACGGTTTCAATGGATAAGAAAAAGTGAAGGAAAAAAAAAAAAAGAAAAAATGGAGGAAAAAGTGGAGGAAAGGTGAGTCAGAAAAAAAAGGAAAGAAAAAAGAACATAGAGAGAGAGAGGATTCTGTGCCAAATTTCGAACGATTGGTGGTCGCCGTCGGATACGAGCCAGAGGCGAGAAATCGATCTGTCGTCCAACTTGTTGAGGCGCGAAGCAACAGTTTGCCTTTTAAACGCCTCTCCACGATTCCTTGCATCCTCCTCCTCCTCCTTCTCTTTCTCTTCCTCTTTTGATTTTTATTTTCGATTTATTCCCTCGTATTAACTCTCTCGTATTAACTCGATAAAAATACTTGATTTACGTTTTCGTGAAAAAAAGCCGATTACGTTTTAGATAGTTGATTAATCGCTTCCTTTCGCGTTTGTTGCTACTTGCCGCTCTTGGTTAACTATGAAGTTGCATTATTAAGTTGTCTCGAAGATACGATCGAGCTATTCATTCGGCGGAACTGTGCTATTCCGATCTGTTCGGTCTGGCAGTAGCGGTACTAATTGCTTCTCAAAGTGGAAACTAACTTTGGGAGAAGCGAGAGAGTTGCCGCGGCGTGGCAGGGGAGTGGGTGGCGCGGGCAAAGGTTGCCGGAAATCCGATCTGACGAACACCCTTTTCAAACGATTCATCCGTTGGACCGGTTACACCCTATGTATCCTCTCCCTGGATACTTATCTTGGATATTCTTCCGGATTCTTTTTTCCGCGACGAGTAAAAATTCGAAAATCAATTAAGAATCCATTAATGAAACTCCTCTTCGTTTATTTCTTTTTTTTTTTCCATCCCTTGGAAATAAATAAATTGAATCGCTTCTAGATTTTTTTTTACGTACAAGATTCTCGCAAAAGAATAGAATAATTTAATTAAAAAAAAAAAGAGAGGAATGTTCGAGCTAATGTGATTCAGGCTTATTGGGATAGAAAATATGGAGAATAATGGGGTCGGTAATCGAGTCGGTAGGGTGCATTAACTCTCGAGTAAAAATCGAGAATTGATACCGAGAGATGTCAAGAGGCGAATCATATAGAGTGTAAGATAAATCGAGCCGGTTGACGGTCGACACGATTTTTCTATTAGCTCGCCTTTCTCGATATACCGCGTGTACACTCTATACGCGCTACGTACGTAGAATCTCGTACGGTGGCGCGTACCGGTGGCGAAAAGAGAAAATAGACATAAGAATAGGACGGAGCGTGGTTGTATTGTGGGGCAGGTCTGCTGTCGATCAAATTCGAAAGCGGGAAATGTATGGAAAAAAAAAAGGAAAAAAAGGATGGTCAAGTGGGAACAGGTGGAAAGTGTGTGATGAAGGAGGCGAGTGCGCGTTCATCGGAATGAGGTCGGACGAGTTTCCACTCGGTCACTTCATCAACGCGGAGCCAACTAAACTGTCAATCGCAAAACCACTACCGCGTCAAACCCTTTCGACGACATCTAGATTCTCGTCGATAAACGCCAAGGCACTTGAGCCATCGATCCCTCCTGCCTCGATTCGCGCTCCCGCGCTTCACACGACTTCTCGAAAATTCGATTCGCGCCACGACCGATTAACTCCTCGCCTTTCCATTATGCACACGCGCATGCGTGGAACGTGATAAACCGAGAGAAACGCACGTTTCGTCGCTACGTATAATATTTTCCTTCATTTCACGCGTGATTCCAGATCCAAAGAATTCTTGACAAGTTCTGTCTAAAAAAAAAAAAAAGAAAAAAAAAGAAAGAAAGAAAAAGTAGCCTTCTTCGATCGATGATTCGTTCGTTAACATCCGACTCCTCGGTTACGAGACGATTGGAAACGAAAAATAGAAATTGTACATTGTTGGAGAGGAAGAACCCCTCGAGAAGAGGTGGGCCAGAAGATGAAAGAGCCGGTAAAGAGTTCTCTCTAGTAGATATAGAGAGGAACTGCTCGCGGTCATTCTTCGCCGTAATTACCGAACAGATAAGAGAATGAAACACGACGAAAAGAACGGAAAGCAAAGCTGCGGAGAGCGTGGTGGAGGAGGAGAAGGAGGAGGAAGCCGAGCAAAGTGGTAAGAGAAAAATCTTCTTCGGTCCTCTTCGAGAATAATGCACGCACCCAGGGGACCTGGCTTTCAGGAAAATGCTGATTGCTTCTCTCTCTCCATCTCCACCGCCACGCCCCCCTATCACCTCTCCCTCCGTTAACTCTTCGCGATTTCTACTATCGCCGATTCTCTTCTTCTCCTTCTTCGGCCGTTCCCCCTCCTTTCTTTCTCGGCCTCTATCCCCCTTTTTTTTTCTCTCTCTTCGTCGTCGCTACCTTATCGATATTGTTTCACTTGTTCTCTCATCTCCAGGGACACCCGCATATCTATCCGCATATAAAGACGATTCTCTAGAACGATGTATGAATTGTACTGTGGAAAATGGAAATCTTGTGAAATATATATATATATATATTCATATACGGAACATTGAGAAATTTTGAGGATGCATGAAAAGAGATTTTAGATGCATGGTTGAAGCGACTGGATGATCGAGAGAGAGAGATAATGATTAAATGCAAGGTAATAAATAAGTAATAAAACGAATAATTTTAAGACTGATGTATAATAAATATACGAGAAGGGGAGACGTAAATTTTAATTTCTTGATCAATTTTGTTTCTGATGTTCATCGATGTTTCCAGGTCAGAAGGATCGTAAACTAGCCAAAGGCTATTTCTTGGGATTAAAGACTTGGTTAAGATTAATCAATAACACGGCTTGTTAAAGCCATGTTCCCGGGGCATGATTGCAGTTTGCATTACTACGTTCTTTTGCAGATTTGAAAAATTGCCTTCTGTTGATTGAATTTTTACCGACTTTCAATTAATTATTGAATCGAATTTTTTTTTTTAAACTTACAATCTATTTTTTCAGACCGGTTATTATTATTAAATAATTTTTAAATATAAGCAAGCTTGAAGCTGCAAACTGCAGGATGCTGTTTTAAATCTTAATCCATTTTCTTGTGTTTACCAATACACACGATTCGAATCGAAATATAATCCTTCGAAATTATACGTCGTATTATACCGACAATCGTATAAATCGGATAGATGAAAACGATCGAACAATGAAAGATGGATGATGGAAAAGTGTGTACATTAGAACGGACGAAAGCCAAATGAAGTTTATCTCGAGGAAGCCAACCCTCTTGAAGGCGACGCTCGTCGCCACGGATTCCAATCTTCTCTCTATTCTCTTCGTCATCGGTGATCTATCGATTGCACGAGTTTTCGCAGATTCCCGTCTCTCTCTCTCTCTCTCTCTCTCTCTCTCTCTCTCTCTTTCTCTCCTTTGTCGAGTCTTGTAAAAATCGAGAAAGCGCCTTTTTAATGAGGCGAGGAGGAGGGGTGCGGTAGGAATCATAGCCAGGTACCGCTTTGGACGGCCTTAATGGTTTCCTATTCACGAGAAGCGTGCGAAAATTAGCCGAGCTAAAAGCATCGGGTAATCGAGTTATTACGAATAAAAGAGGAGCGGCAACGGCATCGCCTGTAGAATGGTTGCGCGATAGTTGATGCCAGATACCGTTAAAAGCGACCAATTAATGCCAGTTAATTCTATAGCCCAACCATCGAACGATCCACCTTCGAATCGTCGATAATCGTATTTTAGGTAACTATAGTTCATACCTGTTTATTATTATATATTTCCACTATTATATATAGTATCAATTTTCCGCCTCGTCCCATCTTTCTCCTTCCTTTTCTCCTCTCTCTCTAATTATCCTTTTTTTTTTACTTCAACGACCCGTAATACATTACGTGGCCAGTGGGATCAACGCAAATGTGTAAAATATATCCTCGATGTTCGTATATCATCGATGTTTCGCGATCAGTGAAATTCAAAGCCGTCGCCAAAGTGATTGAAAATTATTTTTCGAACAATCGCGGGTCACCACGATGTTGCACAAAGGAGGGGTGGGAAATAGAAAATGCTTAGAAAATACTGGGCATATATATTTTACCCTTAGATAGGAAATTGCTCGAGTGGCGGAAGTTCGAATCACGAGGCAAGGAATGCCCCCGTTCGAAATCTTTTCTCCCTCTATTTTCTACCATTTTCTACCATCTCCGATAAGGGGGTCCCTTTTTGTCGCCGTAAATCGACCAACGACGAATCTTGGAGAGAAATGAAATCTAATTTTAGCGTTTTTTTTATCCGCCATTTTGGTTGGAAAGAAAAGAAGAGTGGAGGGAGAAAGGCGTGACGAACAATGAAATCGAACGAATCGGACTTAGCTGAAAGGAGAGACCAATTTTACGTTGCACATACACGCGTACTATACGTTTTACTCGACTAATTAGTTTACTCGAGCCTCCCTCCCTCTTCTTGCGCCCTCTTCAACCTCGGCGCAACTTTGATTCCTTCGATTTTCTCAATTGTGTCTCGTTGCGCGACACGATTCCTTCTTCACGATCTTCACACTTCCTCTTTGCTTTTGCAGATCGTCCGGGGAAACGGGAGAGGCGAATCACGGAGCGAGAATGGGGGGCGGAGAATGGAACGGTTGGTTGCAACGATGTCGAGAATCGCGAAGATTGGTCCTCGTGATCGTCGCTATTGCTCTACTTTTGGATAATATGCTCCTGACCACGGTCGGTGAGTAACATGGATCGACTCGATGGACTCGAATGCTTTACGATTTATCATTCTGTCATTTTTCTGTCTGAGTCATTTTATATTTCTCTCGCATCGCGCGAAATTCTTATTGCCATATTTCTTGGTAGCTTGTGATCGAATGCACTATTTTTCTCCACGTCCTTTAAAATTAAAGAAGAAACGCGTGGGGCTTTGGCCGAAATGGTTGGAGAAAATGGTCAGAGAATGGACAGGACGTTAGCGAATGATCATTCGGATTTTCCACTTATTTAGCTTTTCCCCTCTTAACTGATAGTAGAAGTGGGTTTCCTTTATCGAACGATGTTTAATTCACGAGGTGCGCGCCTGTATGACCCTCCATACGATTCTACTTCGGAATGCTAGAGAACCTTCTGCTCCGAAATATACGCGAGGGGACGAACGGCGGACGCCGTTCTGGCAATCCGGATAAGTGGTCATACATTTATGTAGCGTATACGAAACAGCTTCTCACCAGCGCTAACAAATCATGGAAACGCGATTCCGCTGGATAAAACAATCCTGAACTTATTGCGCCCCTCTTTTTCTTTTTTTTTAATACCTTGCGTTTAAAACCTTCGTTTTCTAATTTCTTTTTTTTTCCGTATTTATCGCTTGAACAAATATTTATTTTATTACGTATTTCATTATTCAACAAATATTATTTTATTATTTCAGTTTTACAAATGAAAACGAAGGCGTGTTCCGCGCGATCGTATAATTTCAAATATTTCTTTTTCCATGTTGTGTTACTTTTATCAATTTTACATTGTCCATTGTTTTACGCAAAATGATGACAAGAGGGGAGGGGAAAATTAAGTTAGGTGAAAAACGAAAGGAAAAAGAAAATTTATTCGCTCCGTTGGAGGTGCTGGGATTTGAACCCAGGACTTTCAGCATGCGAAGCAGACACTCTACCACTGAGTTACACCCCCGAGCTGTAAGATAGATCCGTAAAACACGTTATTAAGCTTAGAGATCAAAATTTTTAATTACTTAATTAATTATTAATATCTTCGATACTCCCTTACGTTTTAGTTTTCTTTTCGGGTTTTCTTCGATCCCTCCTAGCACGTATATATAATATATATGAACGTGTTTACAGTTCCAATTATACCAGAGTTTCTGTACGATATCAAGCATCCGAATGCAACGTTGAGCCAACATTTCGAACAAAGTGGACGAGCAACGGTCACCGCTGTTCATCCAACGAGTATCAATATCGTGACCTCCACGAGCCCGAGTGTAACAACCACGCCGAAATGCCTTTGCACTTCGACAACCAAAACGAATGACTCTCAATTGGAATTTCTTTATCCGAGCACATCACCGTCTAGCATCGAGTCGACGATGGGTTTGCTTGGTAAGAGAAAATTTTTAATTTTTTTTAATTAAAATTTTTTAATTAAATTAATTAAAATTTTTCACTTTCGAATACGATTGAATCGATAAAAATTTCAATATTAATTATTTTCCAGGGACCACGAGCAGCGGCGAAACGGGTACAACGACAGAATCGGAGGAAAAACAACGACACCGCGAGTTGCTTCAAGAAACGGTTGCCGTTGGTATAATGTTCGCCTCGAAGGCTTTCGTTCAATTGCTGGCAAATCCGATTGTCGGCCCCCTTACCCACAAGTAAACTTGACACTTTTACTCTACTACGTGATATCTGTTCTCCTTCAGACGTCTGTCTGTATGTTCATCTTTTCATTTCATGTAATTACACCGTTGACATTTATTTACAGGATCGGTTACAGCATACCTATGTTCACCGGTTTCATTATTATGTTCATTTCCACTCTGATATTCGCATTTGGACGAAGTTACGGCATTCTTTTCTTAGCAAGAGCGCTTCAAGGTATTGGTTCGTCGTGCTCGAGCGTATCTGGTAAATTCTTTATTTTTTTTAATTTTCCTTTTGTATGTTAATTACGAGATTCAAAAGATGATAATAATAATAATAATAATAATAATAATAATAATAATAATAATAATAATAATAATGATGATGATGATGATAATAAATGTAAGTTTTAATTGATCGAGTACGATATAATGATAGGTATGGGCATGCTTGCTGAAAGATACCAAGATGACAAAGAGCGTGGAAACGCAATGGGTATCGCGCTCGGTGGATTGGCACTTGGTGTTCTCATCGGTCCACCATTCGGCGGTGTAATGTACGAATTCGTTGGGAAATCTGCTCCGTTCTTGATACTTTCTGCTTTGGCACTTGGCGATGGAAGTAACTATCTGCATCGCTTTACATTTTATCATCACTTTACTTCTTACTTTGTCTTTGCTCTTTTATTCTTCTGCTTGGTATCATTCCACAGTTTTACAACTTTTGGTGCTTCAACCGTCCGTCGTATACACTGAAGCGGATCCACCATCGTTAAAAACACTCATCACCGATCCTTATATCGTTTTGGCCGCTGGTATATATAATTATTAACCATTAAATGAATTATGAACACGAGGCTGATGCGGTCCTTCAAAATTTAAGTCAATAATTGTTTAATGTATATTGATGTAATTATTTGAAAATTTATGTATGTATATCGTTCCTTTCTGTCTCGTTATGTTTAAAATATTGTCAAGAAAAGTTAAATTCCATTTATCAATTCGATAAAAATTAATATTAAATGAAATAATTCAAGGTCAGCAATGAGTTCAATAATCAATCGAAAATTTCGTATTTCAGGTGCAATAACATTCGCCAATATGGGTATCGCTATGCTTGAGCCCAGTCTTCCAATTTGGATGATGGATACGATGTGTGCAAGTAGATGGGAACAAGGTGCTACGTTTCTGCCGGCAAGCATTAGTTATTTAATCGGAACTAATCTTTTTGGACCACTTGGGCATAGAATGGGCAGGTTAGTGGATATTATTTATCAATGAATATTATATTTTTGCAACAAATTATATTTTATAAAAATTTAATTATACTAGGAATGAATAAGTAAACCCGTGATTACCATCGCCTGGATAGCTCAGTCGGTAGAGCATCAGACTTTTAATCTGAGGGTCCAGGGTTCGAGTCCCTGTTCGGGCGAAATTAATTTTTTCTTTTTATTTATTCCTTTTTTCTTTTTTTTTCTCCTTTCTATAGATATTTTTTATTATTGCTTTTATTTATATAACTTATTCAACATTTGTTAACGTATTTTTCTATTTTTATTATAGGTGGTTAGCTTCATTGATCGGTCTTGTTGTGATTGGCATTTGCTTGATGTGTGTAAGTATTTTATGAATAATTAAATAATCATATCGTTTATATCAATCTTTTTATTTACTTTTACAAAATTTAGTATCTTTTTATACTTTCTATTCAATATATTATTTACAGATACCGCTAGCTAGAAGTATCAACCATTTGATCGTACCTAATGCAGGCTTGGGATTTGCTATTGGTATGGTGGACAGTTCGATGATGCCCCAATTAGGATATTTAGTGGACATACGACATACTGCTGTTTATGGAAGCGTGTATGCCATTGGAGACGTTGCGTTCTGCTTAGGTTTCGCAATTGGTATGTATGCGAATAATTACGATTCATGTATCGTAACAGGCAATAATAAAGGGGACGAGAAACGAAAGAAGAAAAAGAAAAAATAATTTATTCTCGCAACAAATCTATTCTCGAAATCTAGACTATGTTTGCATCTACAAATTCTATCGCAATGAGTCATATCGATATTTGTGGATTATAGTTATTTTTTTCTAATTGTTAGGAATCTCTTTAACCTTTTTGTTTCAATATTCATTTGCATTTAAAACTTTTAAATAATATATTTTTATATATATATATATATTCTTTTTTATAATCGATATAATAATTTAATTATTAATTGTTCGTTATCAGGACCTGCTTTGAGTGGTACGTTAGTCAATAGTATTGGTTTTGAGTGGATGTTATTTGGCATTGCTATTTTAAACTTTATTTATGCTCCATTGATGTACTTTTTACGAGCACCGCCAACGAAAGAAGAGAAAAAGGTAAAGTTTAGTTAATCTATAAAAAAGTCATAGTTAGAAAAGTCATAGTTATTATTTAAATATTATAATAATCATTTTCGTTTATATTATATTCGTGAATTAATTTTTCAGTCACTGATAATTGGCGAAAAATCGTCTGTACGTTACGTAACGTATCAAAACGAGGAGGAAGAACAATAATTGAAAGGATGATTTCGAATACAAAATACGCAGTTCACTCCCTGCATTCTTGAGATGGAACAACGAGTTAATACGATGAAAGAATTCTATGTCGATAATGTTTCCAAAAATATAATTAGACTAAATATTATTTACTCCTTTGTTTAGCGCAAATTGTATATATACATGGTACATAGTATTAGATCGTAAGAATAAGTGTGTGCGTTCAAAAATCGTATGCGTCGATGACGCATTAGCTAACAGATATATTGATTGATCGAGGCACCGAAGTAAAGATACATTGATATATCATCAAATATCGTCAAATATGCGAATTTTTAATCAGTTGAGATATTGTCGATCTTTCAAAGATCATTAATTTTTATTTAAATGGAGAATCACCTGCTTTGGATTCCCTGAATGGCTGCAGGGAAACCGCAATAATAATAATAATAATAATAATAATGATGAGGCAGGTATGATGAAGAGTTCTCCAAATTCTTAAATAATTAAATCGAATCGGATGAAAAATTTAAATATTGTCATGATTATCTTTTTTACTTAAACAAAATCATGGAGGAAGGCGGTATCTCAACGATTGGAAATTCGCAGCTTTGTTTTTAATGAGAAAGGAAAAAAAAATTGAATTTAGACACGTTCTCGACGCGATGCTTCATATTTGTCTGATCAATCCGATAATTTATCGGTGATCAATAATACTCTTCGTGCTCTATGATCGCTTATTTGAAAGTATGACGAATGAATATTTCTTGAATATGATCGGATGTATTCAAAGTAAATAAACTTGTAGACATTGAAGGAAAAAAATTGCTAAAATACTCGACGAATTTGCAAATTACAAGATATTTTATGTGAATTCGCGGCGGAAAACTAATGAAAAAACTTAATTTATTTATTTATTTATTTTTTTTTTTTTATAAATGTAATGCATGTCAAGATAAATTCTTTTTAAAAGAGAAAGATATAGAAACAAAACTCGTATATATTCGATAACGCGTTCTCTTTCTTCTTAGTAATTCCATATAATGCATAATGGATACATCATTTAGAATAACATAATATATTAAATAGAATATATAGATAGAATATATTTATAGATAGAAATAAGTAATAGAATGTTTACATGTATGTATATCGATATAAAATATCTTCGTTGATCATTATATTTGTTGTTTCATCGTGAAAAATGAGATTGTTAAGAATAGAAATTATATGGTATGTTCATGACTGTATAAAGGATCCTAAGCTATTGTGAATGGATATGGAAAAACAAAGGAACTAATTGGATTGTTATTTACAATTGCCTATTATTATAAATCTCTGACGTAAAATTATTCTAACAAAAAATTGATTTTATCATATAATATTTTCTGCATGAAATTATTATACTATATATTTCTAATAATGTAAAACGTTTGAATCTTTATAGATTCTGTACATTCATATATGTTATTATATTATTATAATAATATGTATAGTAGAAAGAGATGGTATCAAAAAAGATTACCAAAATGAGAAATGAAAATTAGATTAGAATTTGCATTATTCAAATTTGAATAAAATAAAAAATAATTAAAGATATATATATATTATAATGAAAATATAATAAAAATATAGTTACGACGAAGAACAGTTTTCTACCGCGAATTCAGTGAATTCTCGAGGTTGCGTTACGTTATCACGCGAACGCCGACCTACTCCCGATAAGAAACGCGAGTCAATTCGATTTGCAAATTCATCGCGAACGTTTGACACGATCGAGCGTTCTTGAGAGAGAGAGAAGAAGAGAAGAAGGAGGAGGAGAAATAGAATGAGGGCATCATATTTGAAAATGGAAAATAAATCGATTAATGATTTCGATTTACAGAACCGAATATTAAAAATTGAAAAATTTCGTTAAGAAACAGCGAATCGTCATCTCCGCATCGATATGCATATATATATCGGATATAAATTTTCTGTTCTAATTCATATTGAAATGCGATATATATTCTCGTTAAGGATTCTTCAAATTTCTGTAAATATAAGAAACATATGTATTTACATATGTATTTAAAAAGAAATTATAACAGAATGTAATCAAAACTCGGCGTCAACTTCATTGTTAATCGACAATGATTTGCCAGCTTCTTTTTCATTTTCATTCTCTTTCTTTTTTTCTGCCGCGCATGATAGAACCTCGATCGTGATGTATATATCATCTATTTTATCGATGTAATGATATCACGCTTTTACAACTTCTTGACTATGCCCCGCGTCAAACGAATAGAAAGAAAATCTTAGCGATTAACTCATCGATAGCTGCTATTGCAAACAGACAATAATCGATATATCACGAGACGAAAGTTTCTTTATATGCAACGTTTATCGTTATTTAATGAAACCTTCGTTTCGATAAATTACGTGTCCTTGATCAATCCATTTGAATTCGACGAATTGTTCAATAAGAGTTTCATTCGATTTAAAAGAAATCAGAACGAAGACGAAACTAGAACAGCCGCATATGTATAGATATAATTTAATCTCGGATAGGCATTGCGCACAGGCACAACCCATTAAACTTCTACATTTCTTTTCTTCTATTCTTTGTCGTTTTAATATATATACATACATATATACATATATATGTTTAACCAGCTGGTGTATGGGTCCGATTTAATCTGCCTGTGTAATTGTTGAAAAACAGTAAGACTCAAAAAGGAGAAAGGTATTTTTTATTCTCGATATTGTGTGTGCATATGTGTGTGTGTATACTTGCGTAATCTTGTACTAAAGTGCGTAAAAAAGCATGCATTTATAAAGGAAAAATTATCTAGGAGGGAGTTAGAATATGTACGCATATCGGATCTGAAAATCGTCTGATTTTCGCCCAGTGGTATTAATATTTGAACGCGATGCTCCAAAATCTCGAATTCTTATCTCGTAAGATCGCTGCGAACAAATTTTATTTTAATGAATCGTATTATTCGACGTTACGTGTTGTTGAAAACCATTATATGTTTACATGTATGTTCAATAACATATTTAAATAAATATTTGCGTGTTTAACATGAAAAATTACTGTACAATATATTATCGTATGTCTGGAATAATTAGAATAAAGCATTAAAATTTCTTCAATTTCCTATTATTAAACCACGCAATATTCTTTTTTAGTATGATATAATAGGTATTTCAATATACACATTATGTACATGTGTTGTGTACAATATATATACACAATATTTAATTTATTTATTCTCTCTAGTGTAGAAAAATATTTTGTTAAAGAACACATATTAATGATCGATTCCACGGATGAAAGTCAGATTCTATGTTAACAAAAAAAAAAAAAAAAAAATACGATTGCGTTAATACACATCGACTTTTTTTGTACGTAACTCACATATCATCTTATTAATAGTTATTATTACAAACAACTTTAATTAATAATTAACATTCAACAGCAGTATATACAAAAATGTCTTACTTAATACTATTTTAATCATACTATCGTATTTGCGCATACGTGAAAATATATAACATAAACATAAATAAATAAATAAATAAATAAATATATAAATATATATTTATTTATTTATATTTATATTTTTTTCTTAAACAATCACAATTGAATTTTAATTTTTACACAATTACGTTGATATATTTACTTTTCGAAAGATATTAAAATATCGTCTGTCGTCACCAAAATAATTATCAAAAATGTGTTATTCTCCGACGATAAAACGATACAATTGTATCCTAATGCTTTGACAAAAATCAAACATTAGTGCACTAGGCAAAATAAAAAACAACTATTACCATCAATGTTCACGGTATACGATAAATCGATCCAAGTATATATATATATCTTTTCCATTAGCTTAAGAGTTATACAGATCGTTCATTTTGTTATATCACAGTAATCTAAAAATATATAAGTCTAGCATCTTCTGGATTTTGTTCTACTGGACAATATGGACATTTTAATCTAAAAAACAAAATTCAATTATTATTTCAAAAACTTCAATCTTTCTTTGCGTATTATTGTTTATTAATTAAAAAGAACTCTTTTATTTATATTAATATTATGTTTTATTATTACTAAAAAACGTACTTATTTGCATTCGTAAGTTTGTTTAACGCGTCTCTTGAAATAACATGTCCACAGACTAATTTCATTGGTGGATTATTTTCTGTACTTTGTTGCCTTAAAATTGGGCATGCAAAGACAGAATGATAACGACCTTCTTTACCAAGGTCTATTTCAATCTGTGTGGAAAATATCATTTAAATAATATTGTCTTTTCTAATCGTTATTCTAATTACTATTACTTACAGGTAATTCATCTTTTCCATTCCAAACAGTATTTACTTGTCTTTGTTGCATAACTTGCTTAATATTCAGAAGTGTTGGTAATGCAGTACAACCAGCATTGATACTAAAACAATATTATAAGATTATTCTATTGATTTATGATTTATCAATATAAAAAGCTTACCATACTGAAAGAGGACTATCTACACTTAAACCAAATAATGTGCAAGCCTCCCTTGTAAATACATCATGAATATCTAACCACAAAGTAGGATCTAATAAATGACTATAAGGGGAAGATTGTATTCCATTTGGTAAATAAAGTAGCGTGCCCATTAAAGCTTGTACTTCTTTCCCATGACGTTCAACATATTGTGTAAGATTTTGACGGGCATAAGTTATTGCTTCTGTTTGTTTACTAGGTCCTTGTTGAATCAATCTTATAAAATGCAACCTATGCAGCTTGAACTCAAGAGATGAATTCTACAAATAATATTCAATTAATGTCAAATATTTGCATTATAATAATATTATCAAAGTAGTAACAATAAATAATATTCAGTATACTTGTGCTAAAAGTGCCTCTCTATGTTTTTTTGCCCAATCAAGAGCTGGTTCCAAATTTCTTTGTTTTAAACAATCCAATATATAATTTAATTCTGTAAATGGCTCCTTTGTACCTTCATCTGTTTTAATTCCAGCTTCCTGTAACAAAGATTTATTAAATATATATTTATATATATATTTTTTTATAACAAATTAATAGCAAAAATATTCTTACTATTAAATGTGTTATGTAGACTTACCGCTGCTAATTCTGCTGCAATATCTAACATACCATGACGATAAAAATGTTGACAAATGACTTGATTTAGAAGATGTGATTTTTCAGGGCCTGAAAAGACATCTTCTCTACTTGTACTTGCAAAATCTGCAGTGAAATTTCTATCAATTGCTTTTCCAACTTTAGAAACAGAACCATGTAACTCTCTATGTTCAGTGGTTAAACGATGCACAGTTTCACATATCTTTTTCATTGTTTCTTTTAATATTTGTATTTGGCCTGGCGTTAATTCATGATTGGATGGTGCTATTGAAAAAAAAATTTTGATTCTTTTAAATAAAATAATATGTAATTTTAATGTTATATTCTATTAAAGCGTTAAAAAATCAAAAAACATAAAAATTAGCAAAAAAAACGTAAATAATTGAAAAAATTTTTTAAATGAAAAAAGACTGAATAAAATGTTGCAATGAAAGAGGTTAGAATTAGATAGAATAATATGAAGAGGTTAATGAAAAATTTAAACGTTTTTCAGGTTAAATTTTACTAAATCTATATATTCATATTGATTCTATAAAAATTGAAATTTTCTAGATCTTTTTTCTTTCTTTTTTATAATTACTAATAATATCACGATTTCCAAAAGATTTTATTTTTTTACTCATAGATGTCAATGAATAGTGACATTGTAAGTATTGTGAAAGCTTTTAGTATACCTTCTGCAAATTCCTTTTTTAAAGATTCGACATGATTTATGAGATCTTGCAGTACTGTCTCTGCATGTTCGTTTACGACTCCAAATTTTAATAAAATCTTGTCAACTTCACGTTCAACGACATTACACGCCTCCATTATTGTTTTTCTTGGTGATAGCGCGTCACTACTTGTCACTTTTGCTTTATGCACATGTAGATGTATACTTCGTGCGCATACACAAATATACGAATAAGATTAGAATCCAATACCTTTTAATTCACATATATTACATATATGTATATTATGTGTTGACTAGTCTTCTATATATAAGATATACAATATATGAACATGTTATATTAATTTATTTTCGTATAAAATATCAATTATTTTTTTATAAAAAAATTTTTAAAATTAATATAAATTTTTTAAATTAAAATATGGATAAAATAAAATTAAAAATTGAAACACACAATATTCAACAATGTTTCATTTGATTATGAATTATTTTTATTAATGTTGCTATTGTTTAATTATTATCATTATTGTTGCTGCTACATAATGATGACAATATGATAACATTTTAAACATTAAAATTGTTATTTAATGTTTTGTATTAAATGAAAATATTTAATTGTTAATAAATATATTTTACTTTATCAGATAGAATAGTAATAATATTTAATATATTTCTAAAATTTTTAATAAACAACTACTTAAATTGTTTACTTTTATCATGATAATATGATTTCACTAATTACAAAGTTTAACAAAAAAAAATAATTCATCAATAATAAATGATTAATTTCTTCTGTAATTATTGAAGATCAACTGTTACATCTCATCTGTTACAGCAAACTGAACATGACTCTGTAACAAAAATATTATAAAGAAGATCTATGTTTCCTTTTTCTATGTAATTAATAAGTTTAAAAGAACTGATATTATTATGAAATAAGAAATTATATTTACCCATTCTCGTGCCATCATAAGAATTGTATTTCTAGGTAGTTTTGGTCCAATTAAAGGATTCATTTGAGCCATATAACAACATAACCAGCTATAAAATATATAATAAATTGAGTTTTAATTGAAACATTATTTATAAATTCATTCAAGTGCTTTATTTGATATTTATCAACTTACAACAACCAACATGTAAAAGCTGTCAACATAAGCATAACCTGAAGAATCCTATAAAAAAATGTTTATAAAAAATTACTATTAAATTTAATATAATTAATAACTTTAAATAATTATATTTATTTCTTTTTTATAACAAAGAAAAAATATTTGAATAATTAAAATTATTTTTACGTTAATTATAACGGAATTATATGGTATACATACCCACGATTAGTACCTTTTGGAACAAAAAAAGGTAAAACAATTCCTATTACTCCCCAAAATATTGTAAAAATTAATATTGGAATCAATGATGCTCCCATTTTATAATAAATAATCTTTCTATATATCAATGGACTAAATCTATTAAGCAATCAATTTATTAAAGTAAACGTGAATCACGTGAATATCTCGATTTCAACAAATGTTAAACTCGAAAATTGCGAGATACGATATATCGCATATACATGCATTTTCGATATATAATTCGTAATTGATAGACAATCAAAATTAATTAATAACTTGATAATTCAATTCAAAAACATCTTTTTATTAATGAAAATTTTACAAATATATAAAAATTGAATTAGAACTTGAGTTTGCTTAATACATTCTTTCTTAATCTCTTTTCCTCTCTCTCTCTCTCTCTCTCTCTCTCTCTCTCTCTCTCTCTCTCTCTCTCTCTGTCACATACATTCTTTATTTATTTAAAAATAAATTGCATTTAATTTTTAATAAAAACTATTTTAACACATTGTATTTTAACTGTGAACGTTTGTATTTTTCGATCAATGTACTGAAACTTCAAATTCAATGAAGATCATTATTTTTCATTATTAATGTAATTCATAACAATTATATTTAATCTCCAAATAATCGTTCTTGCGTTATTTCGGTATTATTACTTAAGCGTTGCGTATCATCGTAAGTTTTTGATATATTTACGATTGATGGACCATCACCTCCGCCAATTGTAGAACACTGATCCATTTTACCTGTTGTCATATCAGATTGGTTTTCGATGCATTCAACCAATTCTGTTAAATGTCGAACAGATTTTTTATCTGATCCATCAGTATTTGTATCATGTTGACTTTTCTCAACATGGTGAGATTTTGATGTTGTAGTTAAATTTGTGCAAGAAAATACAAATCTCTCTAAAATACCTACAGTTTTATTATATTAATAATCAATGATTAATTAAAATTATTTAATATTAAAAATTTTTAAATTGAATATGAAATATTTTTGTATTTATATACCTGTTAGATTCATTCTTTCCTCTGATAAACATGTATCATCATGAGAGCTAATATTGTCTCTACTAAAAAGATGTTGTCTGATGGTAGTCAAACTGCGGTTTTTTAATTTTTCATCGATCAAAGATCGATCAAGGGAATCATTTTTGCATGGTGTTTTATACATGACCGAACGTTCAGTGCGCATTTCACGTCCCTTTTTAATATAAGGAATCAAACATGATAAATTCAATTGCGTTCTAGAAACACTATTCGCAGTTTGTATAGATAATGGCGATTTGCAACTGCTCACTAAAAAAACGTATCGATAATTAAAAAGCATAAACATAAATTCATGATATTTATATAAATATTCTTACCTGTATAAGGAGTTCTTACATAAGTTAAAGGTTTTCTATGATTATCATTGGATAATCCATAAATTGTAGATGTTAATTTATTACTCACATCTAGAAAAAAAGATAAAATGAATATAACAGTAAAAATTAATAATTGAAGAGAAAATAACATACCATGAATAGTGTCACCTTGTCCCTTGCCATTTTTACCATAAGTTGTATTCATTAACATTGTATTATTCATAATAGCAACTAAAGCGGGATGTAATCGTTTTACTACATTCAATATTAATTCGCATCTTTTTATTACCCGTAATTGTTGTGGTTCAGTAGCGTTTTCTATTAAAAGACTTTTTGAAGCAGCATCAGCTTCAAAAATTGCTTCAAAATAGTAAGAAATGATTATAAAGTTGCATACAATAAAAGAACAAATTAAAAATTTCGTATAATAAATATTTACCAGCTTTTAATTCTCTAATCATCATTATTGTTTGTCTTTCAACGATATCACTTCCAATATCATTTATTGTAATACTAATTTGGCGAGAGAGTGATAACGATCTAAGCACGACGCTTTGTACTTGTGCTTGAGTAACAGGCTTTCTATTGTCAAGACAATTCGACATCTCTGAAATACGATCTTGAAGATCATCTAAAACTACCTAAGTGAATAATATGTAAAATTTTTTTTTAAATTTACATTTTTAATTTTTATTATATATAATTATACTCCAAGGATATATTTAAAAAATACTTGACAATAAGCAGCAGAATCCATAATCAAATTAATTGCATCATGTAATTTATTGACTTCTAATTGCCATTGTGCAGTTAATAACTTTACATTTGCTCGTATCTCTTTACTGTCTGGATGCAAGTAAAACATGGTAATGGCGGAAATCAATTCAGTTTCTAAAGATTCAAGACTTGCCAAACAATTTCGGACTTGATTAATTCCTAGAACATTATTCAATTTAAAAATTGAATAAATAAATAATAAAATAATGATATAAATTTTATCAATTTATGTGAATTAACTTACGATTTCTATCTTTACAAGAAGCAATAGCAAATAGTCCAATTTGCATAGATTTATCTATTATTTGATCGAAATCTTCTATAGCATTGGATAAATCATTTTTAGATCGTTTTTTAGCGCTTAATGAATTACCACAGATTGTAACAAGTTTTCTCAGAGCATGAAAAGGATCACTAAAAACTTCCATAACAAGATTCAATACTGATACATTAATTTTACGTTCTAAACGATAAAGTGCATCGCTCAAACTATTCATAAACAAATTATTCAATGCTGTATCAGACGATTCCGAAGTTAATTGAAATTTTAAATTTTCATATTCTGATATAATGGATTGACAGGTTCCAGTTATTGCTTTAAAATTGCAAGGTTTGCAAACCTGTGCAATAGCCATTGCATATGAAAACACATCTTCTATTCGAAACCATAAATCTTTGCATTCCTGTATTTGATCTTGTAGTGATTTATTTGGCATTTCTGATAAGATGTCCAATACCAAGTCCATTCTAAATGCAAAATAAACTAAAATAACTTAAAATAGACACAAATGTAAAATATTATTTTTCTGAAAACAATTAAAATTAAGTTACCTATAAACAAAGTGATTTTTTTGTTCAAATTCTTCATCTTCTGGTAATGGATCTAACATATCCAATATTTCTATTATCATCTTCAAGCAAAAGCAAAGTCTTTCACACACATATTTCTTGCAATTCTATGCAAATAAAGCATAAGTATCCTATTAGAATATGCTTGTGTATGCTTTTAAAATGTAGAGATCATAAAACATTTTATTACATAGATTGGTGCATTTAGGCGATGCTGCTCTTGTACTAATTGTACTAACAGTTTAAATGCTGCACATAACTGACACAAATATAATATGATCTTTTCAGCTAATAGTTGACACATTAAGCTTTTCCTATATATTTGTAATGGTCCAAGCAATTCCAAAATGCAAGAGCCCAATTCCTGATAAGAAAATATTTTATTTATATTTATATATAATATTAAATAATTTATTTAAATAATTTATCCAAACATTGATATAATCATATGAAAAATTTTTATACTATATTTTTTTATACCTTAATGTTCTGAAAATGTTCAATTTCATTAGCTTGACCCATTTCTCTAATATAATCTAAACAATCTGTCAATCTTTGCTTTAATGGCAAACATTCTAATTTTTCTAAAGCTTCAAGAGCTAACTTAAACTTATCTAATACAGTAGACAAAATTTGATTTGCCATTTGTTTATCTATATTTTCAATCTGTAAAAAATTTATTATAAAAGTGGATAAGAAATTAATATTTATATTTTGTTTTAACGTACAGATTCATTAATATATTCTAAGGAACAAAATTCTTCCACAATACTAGTGATCTTTGATTCCATTTCTTCATAATCGCTAATCTCTTCTTTCGATAGTAAATCAAATTTTTCTCCCAAACATTCCAATTGTTCAAAGAGAATAGATTTTTTCGACATAGGAACATTTTCATTATGAGGGTTAGTATTTATTAATTCTTTCAATTTATTTACCTAAGATATCGAATGTATTAAAATATTATTTCATTTAAAAAAGAAATAAATAATATAAGAAATATATTATTATAATATTAAAATATTATAAAATTGTTATATTTTTCTTACTTGTTCTTCTATAGGTATTAATATTCCTTTTATTTCCTTTGTCTTTATTGGCATTTTTAAGCTTTCTGATTTTTAAACAATCAACGACGATAAATCTAATCTCGTCACTCTTAGTTGTTTGTAAACAACATGAAAATAGTAATCAATCGATTTTTAATTTACGTTATAACAATCGAAATCTGTAATCCGTTGATGTTTTGAATCGCTACGGTTCTACCACATTTCATATTGAAAAATGATTCACAAGTAATCATTTGTAATTTTCTTTATTACATATAATAAATATTATAACAATAATTTATATTTTTAAATATGTGTGTCTACACAGAAATTTCAAAGCATTGAAGTTTTCAAAATAACATTAACAATTTATTTATTTGTTTCTTTAATAAGTTGTCTATACTGTGGATATGCAAGCATGCATTTGCACGTGTGTGAATATATACAGAATACGATAAAGAAGTTCGATAATATTGATGTTGTAGTAGGTTTTTCTAATTGCATGACAATTTATAATTTGATATGAAAGAAATATAATTTGCTATGTAAGTAATATAAATATATTATAAATTTTGCATAAATTTTTTTATACAAATATGAACATATATTATTTTAAAAAAACATTATGTAGAATAAAACTCAAAATCAAAATATTCTATTAGAAGAGTGTTCGCAACTATTACATGATCAAAAAGTGTATCGGTTTTTATTGATTAAAAATCAAATTTTATTGAATGTAGTGCATATTTATTATTTTGTAACACGTTATTATAAATCTTAATCAATGAAGTCCAAATTAAATCTTAATTTATTATTATTTAATTAATTATGAATAATTAAGAATGTGTAGAATAATATACTATAGAAAAGGTTATGTAATTTCATTGAATTCTTATTTAATTAAAATGATGGTTTTGAGAATTTTTTTTTACTTTAAATTATATTGTTCATGTATATTTTTTTGTTTTTAAATAAGTTTTTTATATTTTTTATGGTACAAAATATATATGTATGAATTTTTAATAAGATTAATACTATTGTGTAAATACTGAATTTTTCATTAATTAATTTACGACGAATATTAATTTTTATGCAATATAATTTATTATTATAATATATTGTAAATAATAATAAAGATTCATTTAAATAAAATAATTTTTTTTTTATCTGAATTTTCATCTATGTGAAAGAAAATATTTTTTATATAATGCATATATTTTATTTATTTTCAGATAAAAAACACAAATTAGAATTAAGATTTGTGACACATGATTAACTTTGCTTTTGGCAAAGAAATTTTTAAAGAAGTATCATAAGAATCATAAGAATAAATTATATTGGTCATTAAATAAATTATATTGGTTGATATTAAGAATGGTTAAATACTACGAAAGTAGTACAATTTTTCAATTTAATTGGAATCAAGTTGCATATGGATTTTGGCAGAGATATCCAAATCCTAATAGGTAAATATCAACCTCCAAATATACTTGTGAAACACATAATAGTATTCATTTAGAAATATTTAAAAAAAATGAATGTAAAATATAAATTGTTTTCATGTATAGTTCTCATGTACTTACGGAAGACACTATATCAAGAAAAGTTAAAAATGGTATATTATATAGCACACGTCTTTTGACAAAAACTAACAGAGTGCCTAAATGGGGAGAGAGATTTGTTAGCAAAAATATAGTAAAAATTATTGAAGAGAGTATAGTGGATCCAAAGACAAAGACTTTAACAACATATACAAGAAATTTAGGTTACACTAAAGTCATGGTAATTTGATATGTGTGATATAATTTAATATATCATTGTGTGCAATAAATTTATAACAAATATTATAGTACAATTATTTGATGATTGATTCTTATTGTGGTTTGTTTATTTCAGAGCATTGTAGAGAAGGTTGTTTATAAAGTATGTGAAGAAAACTCTAATTGGACAGTAGCAAAACGATCAGCTTGGATTGATAGTCAAGTATTTGGATTCAGTAGAGCTATTCAAGCATTTGGATTGGATAGATTTAAAAAGAATTGTACTCTGATGTATAATGGGTTTAATTACGTTCTAGCTCATTTGTTTCCTCACACGGCACAATATATGAATCCATCGCTTTCTCAAATGGGTTTTGCTCATCTAGTAAAAAAAATGCATATAAAGAATCAATATGAAAGAAAAAAAAATTTTTATTTAACTGTTTTTATTTTAGATTGAAGAATTTCCTGGAAAGACAAGTCTTGCAGAAGATTTCCAACATTCATTACAAGGTAAAGCAGAAAAGGTAAAGGATGCTGCAAAAAAGGCAACTGATTTAGCAAAGAAAAAGGCTGGCACCATTTATGCTACATAACATTCTGAGCAATCATAATTAAAACAACATCGTCGGTGTGAATGATTTAAAATATTTGGCGAATAGAGAAAATGAAAATTCAAAAAATTTTTAAAATGGAATAATTTTAAAATGAAAAAAGGATAATTATTTGATGGTTTATTGATTGAGTAAATAATAGAATGAAATTGTTTAGCGTTATTCGTTAAAAAATATGAGAAAATTTTTTTAAAAAATTTCTTCTATAATTATGTATAATATTGTATCATGTTATCATTCCTGTTAACTGCCATTTTATGTTCAATTTTAATATTCATACAAGATTTATTTGCGATAAATACGGCAATATATTTTCAAAGATAACGATCACTGACGATGCTTAATAGTGTGGACGAAGCAATATTATGGTACGCTTGTATCATTAGATATCAAAGCGAATAAAATTTGGATCGAAATATAAAAATGTATATATAATTGCTTCGAATATTTGCTTTGAAAGATGTAGAGTGTATTGTAAAATATGAAATAGATGAGAAGAAAAATTAGTCATAAGCTTTAAATGAATTCAATTTGTTGTAATAAAAATCGAGGATTTCGTTAAACGAAAATCTTAAAGATCAATGAGTTAGTAGAAAAAATTAGGAATTGTAGATAACACATTTTTGCGATAGTGTGTTGTGTCTAATTGTAAGTATTTAAGCATTTTTTATTTGCACGTATGAATAAATAATCAATATCGTATCATATCGGTATCCGATATGCTTTCCGTATACAATCCTAAAATTAGAATTGCATTCATATTAAAAAGATATTTAATATTTGCGCAAATTTTTTATGCGCATATATGCACGTATTTCTATACATTAAAATATCATTTTTGTGTATTTAGAGGAAAAAATTCTAATTTGATGTTTATCGTTAACCATTATAATTTATGCAAGTATTATATAGATAGAAAAATTGTATATAATATATTAAAAAGTATACTATATAAATGTTATTAGAATCTTATTAAAAACTAAAAAATATAATCTTTTATATTTTTTCGATTTTTACAAGAAATATTTTAAAATGTAGACAAATTAAGATTTTTTTTAATTTATTAGTTTGGGACGAAACAAAAAAAAGAAGTATTAACCTTGAACAGCAAATTATGAAAAGAGGAATTTCCAGGTGTGGTGATCTAATATACATAATATATAATAATATATAAGTGTAGAAGCATGTAATTTATCAAACTTGTGCTATTTACTTTTTGCTCTGTATAACATAGCAGAATAAAAGAGTATTTAAAATAAATTATATCGAATAAATAATTCAATAAGATAATCAAGCTAGATAGAGATAGTTTGTTTATTTCTTTTATCTTGAATATTGACTACGATGCAATGTAGTGACTTAACAGGAAAATCCAATGTATTTGCATAGGAATTTTTATAATCGATCATCTTGCAACACTGATTAGTTGCTGTTACTACTTGCTGTTCGCCACTCAACTTGTCTGTAGCTCAACTATAAAAGTACGCGAACAATTCTTTTCGTTCAGGAAATTCTTGATCTTGTTACATTAAAGAAATTTAAATAATAATAAAGTTTGAAAAAGAACGAAAGAGAGAAAGAAAAAATAAAAGTGGATGTATAAAAGATATAAAACAAAGGCGATTGATTAATCAAAATGTGGTTGTTTTTTCTAATATTAGGTAAGTATGCATCAAGTAATTTATATTCCATAATAGCACCATATAAAAAATCAATTCATGGAAACGCATATTGTAGCTATTGCTTCGAGTAGGAGTGTAATCGCATTTCCACAGGTAAGAAAAATTTAATTGTTAATTCGAATCATTTTGTTCAATCAAATCGATTAATTATCATTTGATCATATTAAGAACGATTTAACCAATTTGAACAATATTGAGATTCAAACGCTACCTACCACATTCGAAGTAGATGGATTTATTTTTGATGGACCAGCAAATAGACCATTACGGCAAACTTCCACAACTGTAACAACTACTTCTACAGCAGCTACTGTTGATCCTCAATTCGATCAGTGTGTTGCAACATGTCGTGTGAGTTATAAAATATTTTTTTTTTTTCCTTTGATCATACAATATCGTTAATATAAGTATAAGTATGATATCATAGTTATACATAGTTATACATTCATTATCATTATCATAAATTTAATGATGTATATAATAAATCGTATCTTCAAAATATTTTCTTTCGCATCAAGTATTTCCTTTTGATTATATCGAAAAATTAAACAATATAATTCGTAGTGAATGAAAAATGATGAAATTTTCAGACAACACCCGAATATAATCCTGTATGTGGAACAGACCAAGTTGAATATAAAAATCCTGGGCAACTAAGTTGTGCATCTATGTGTGGAAAAGGTTAGAAAGATTAAACTTTCGTTAATCTATTAAAAAAACACAAATATTGTTTGTTACAGATGTTTCATTAAGACATTATGGACGTTGCACGACTACGAAAATAAGAGGAAGATAATGATAATAGTTTGAATGTTTTACTGATCAGGAATATTAATATGCAAATTATGAATGTTCTCTGTTTAAGAAGACTGTTTTAACGCATAGTTGCGTAATTGTTTTTTCGTCCTTGTTTCATTTTTAATACAAGTTTTAATTGAAAATATCGCATTTCTATTCATGTGTCCTTTCCTACCTATAGAATTGTATCAACTTAAGAAATCGATCTAAAGTGTATGTGTGTATGTATGTATGATGAAAGATGATGGTTATGCAAGTTAATCATGAGACGCGGAGGAAGCATTATGATCGGCCCATCTGACTCTTCGTGCAATTTCAAGATTTCCTCCATGAATACCGTAGAGATGTCTAGCCAGAATATTGGCTCTGTCTTCTTCTGCTCGTATGGCTGTTCGTCTATATTGTGCAATAGTTACTAGACAGCCAACGATAAATGTGATTTGAATGATCAATAAAATAATTAATAAGCTCAAGGCAAGACTAGCATCGATGCAAAGCAATCCGTCCATAGAATCTAAAAAGAAGAAAAGAAATCTAAAAAGAATTATCTGAAAATAAAAGTAAAGAAATTTATTAAACTTACTTTCTCCGGTTATCAATACGGTATCGGGAGATACGTTCTCTCTTGAAGACAAACGATCAGCCGAAGATGCAACGGGATTTTGTACAATTATAGAGAGATAAAGCGGTAATTCTTCCGGTGTTTCATTTTGAAACATTTGTGTTGTTTCATCGTTATAAATCGAATGTGTATTCTCAGATTCGATAGATCGTTTTCTTTTTCCATAGGAAAGTTTATCGCCATTGCAGACTGTCTGCAATACACGTTGAATCAACCATCACGAATATTAAAAAAATTAAAAAGTGCGGACGTAAATCAAACTTACCGGCATACATTTTTGCAAACAAAATCGAACGATTACATTAAATCGGACTATCTGACTGTTAGGAAATTTGAAAGCAGTAAAGGTTGCAATCAAAGAACGACCATCAAGTGGATCTTTCGTGAGCGCTGGAAAAGTAGTTGAATCTGTAGGACATCCAACTTCGTTTAGTAACAAATAAGAAGCATCACCCGAAGCGCTACTCGCTACAAGATGACCGGCAGTGATATCATAAGGACCTATAACCATATATAAAAAATTATACATAGGTATAGATATATATTTACAATTCAAATTCGATTTTTTTAAAAAAATATTCTATATTTTTGATTTATTTTTATATCAGGAATCAGGTGTTTATGTGTATAATATAATTTGCTTACCGTTCGGTGGACTCAACTGAATTTTCAATATGAGCTTTTGACCTAAATGCGTGACCATCGCGTCTCTCATATTCTCGTCTAAAATTCTCATAGTGACTATTGGTACTTGCGAGGATACATTGACTATTGTCGAAGAGATTGGCGGTACTCCTGCGCTAAAAAACATAGAAAATGTATGTATCGTGAATAATTCTGTACGAATGATAAGAATCACAGAAGTGAAAAGTAAGTTCTCACTTTGGATCGAGAAAACTGAAACTCGAATGAACAGTAATGTTTTTCGCTTCTGGTGGCTCTCGATCGCTCAACGAGCATCCTACCCTAATCGCTTGATCACCGAGTCGTTGAACGATTGGATTGAATTGTACGACTATCGTCGCCCAGACCAATGGTCGCGTTCTATGATCAATTTATTTATTTCTATAAAATGGAGAATACCTAAGAGAGTTTAGAGAAAATTGTTATCGACTTGCCGATTTCGATCGTCGACAGAAAAAGCGGGGTTCAGGCCGCAATGTAGTTTGCCTTGATGGACATTGTTTGCGGTTGGGATGGGTAGCATCAACATCGTTTGATTACCGCCCGTACCTTGAACGCTGCAAGTATCTGCATATCCATTCGAATAGATTCGGCCGAAAAAGGGATCGTTTGTTCTCAACATGACCGTCATCGTTGAATCATTGCATTGTACTCTTACTGATAAGAAGAAAAATGAAACGTAAAAGCTATTGTATTGTATAAAAATATTGTAACACAAGGTGTTACAATATTTGTAGGTTATGAAAAGTCTTGGAAAGTCAATTTTTATAGTAGCTAGAATTGATTCTCTGAAAATGTTCTGATGAATATTGTAACATCTTGTGTACGTGATTCCTTTCTCTTTGATCAACTTACAATCCAAACACAATTCCCGTTCTCTGTATATCGTTTTTGTAGCATCGATCAGTGAGCTAACCCCTAGACTAGTGGTATCTTCCGAATGTAACAGGCAAACTGGTTTACTGGACGAATTGTCGAACGTATATCCCCGACAAATAAAACCATCCATACTTGCGTCGCATCTTCTCTCGCACTGCACGGAATCGATCCGTCCAATGAAACGAAATGTAAAGTACCGAAGAATTTCTTTAACTTACCTGCTCCTCGTCAAGATTGGATAAAGCGAAGTCCGAATATGGCAACGAAACATTTTGAAATTCCGCATACGAACAGTATTCGCGATTAGCTGTAATCAATGGAGATTGGATGTTTTATTATTCAATTTTAAAACGTCTTTTTTGAAATTTGTACTCACACAGGTTTCGACATTGATCTCGAAGATATTCATCTCTGTACATCGAGGCTCTGTACGCTCGAGGTCTGGTTCCACGTTCGTACAACGAGAGAGAGCATCGGCCGAGCGCAGTTTCGTTCGATGAGAGAGGTTTCGATGTTCGGAATTGCGCGGATTCGCAGCTTCCTCCTATAAGAAAATCGAGGCGATGTTTGACATTCATCGGAGATAAATCAGATTCAATGACAGTTTATTAACATCTGGATCTTACCTGTCTCTATACATTTTTCGTAACACTGATTTCTTGTAATTGGATTGGGCAGATGTAAGGCGCTGGTATCTATCAACACCGCTCCCGGGCTTCTCTCCACTTGCCAAAGTCTACGTCGTGTACAGCTTATCGGAACTAATTGAAAATAAAAAATTACAATTGATGAATAATCGTTTGAAAATGATCGAATCCTCTTACCTCTCACGCAAACTCGATGATAAAACGTCAAATTCGGGTCAGGTATCAACTCGTCGTCCTTTGTTTCTATCGCGTAGCAGATATGTTTCCCAAAGTCTACTATGAATGCGGTACAATTTATGCGCTCGCACCTGAAATGCATATATGACCAGATTTCGTTCTTTCATTTCGTTTGTCTTTTCCTTGGCATTACCTTTCGAAGCAGTATCTCGTTATTCCGTTCGAATTGACCGTGCTAAAGAGGATTGTTTGCGAATCAAACGTTTCTGGTTTAACGCCACCAATTTTTTCCCATGTAATGGCCGAGCAACAGTCTGTTGGAATCAATGGTAAATGAGCCGTCGATAATAGAGGCCGTGCGTGTTGAATTAAATATATAGATATATCTAATAGAAATATATCTAATAGTCCAATTATCGTCACCTGTTTTTGCGAAAAACCAGGAAAACACGATTCCTAAAAGAAGACGAACGATCGTCGTCATGTTCGTCGCTCGTCTACCGCTCGCATCGCGCGGTGCAAACGGTTCTCGAGCTTCGATATTGTGTGCCAAGGATTTTCGCGAACGTTGCCTCGACCTGCACACAACGATCTACCGTCGAGATCGCTTGCGTAATCGATCGAAAACGCTAAAAGATCTAGCGAAATTTACGATTTCTCGCGGAACAACGTGCAATAAATGTAGACGTGTAAACATAAAACGATAAAAGACGCGCGAAACGTTGTTGTCAAGAGACTCGACAGGATAGCGATTAGTACAATAAACGATCCATTGTCGTAAATAGGAATTCAGAAAATCGAGTACTTCGATCGATTTAATTCGTTCGAAAAACATGCGATCAAATTGCAATTTCACGATCAACTGACACACGCGGGTGGAGATGCGTATGTGCTCACCTGCATTGTTGCGAAAAGCGAATAAAAACGAATACGTCCGCCCGCGCGCGCACGACGGTCCACGAACGAATAATCACGATGTGGTGTAACGCGGTAAAGTCTCTTTCAAATTAGTCAAATGTTAATTTCATTCGTTCTATTTGTTACAACTATCAGTTATTATGACATATATTTCTTTCGTCACTCCATAAAATTCCATTATATTTTTTATTTTTCAAAAGTCTAAACATTTTTTTCATCTAATTTATTTTTATTTTAGGTTAACACGCATTTGCGAATTTGTTAGAAATTTATATACATCTATCGTTCAAGACCTATCATTTTAAGTCAAAGAAAATTGAAAGCAATCGACTTCATTTAAAGTTTGAAAGAATATTTGAAGACAAGTGACAAGTTCATATTAGTAAAGTGATTTTAAGATATTTGAATATCGTGGAATTTGGGCAATCTGAGGTCATAGATTAATGGTGGAACCAAACTTCGGTTGAACGTGCCTTTACGGACGCTTATGGTCGTAACCGACAAAAAGGCTTGGTCGTCATGCGCAAAATGACTCGTCTCGGTGCATCGATGCTTATCGCGATTGGTCAAATATTTCCGGCCGTTCGAGCCGGCTATTCGCCGATTCGATTTCCCGGATTCCGTGTATGAACGGTACACGATAACACGGTGCTCGTTTAGAAGCGTCCTTCGGTTTACGTAACCTACAATTTTACACATGTTCGTGTCTCTTCGCTGTTCTTCGATAAATATTGTTTCTAACGAGGACGTGATGCTATATTTCTCGAGCGATCAACGAACCGATTCTGAATCGTAGATTTAAAATAAATTTCTATTTATTTTATTATAATAGAGTGAAAATTTTCAATGAAGGATTGAGCAGTGTCTTTAATATTTGGATCGATTAAATTATAATGTTCAGGAAAATATTGTATTTAATATGTAATGGTTAATTTACCGCTTAAAGACTATAACAATTATTTTTATGATACATCGTTCATTAGCTATTATCTATTATTTTTTTAACCACTTATGTTAATAAACAGAAATGATATAGATAGAATAATGTGCATTATCATTTGAATATTAATTTAAAAGAAGTCAAATATTCTTTAAAAAATCTTTTTTTTAGATAAGAAAGAAAAATGGGAAAAAAAACAATTATTCATTCCCGCATCGCTTTTGCAAACAATTTTAATAACAATCATGGATTAGATACTTACACATAATACCCGCATTTTCTTGAACTATAAAGATGATTTCTCTCGTTGCTTTTTACAAATATTTTCGTAAGTCGAATGTAAAACAGGAAACAAAGATAGGAAATGAAGAAAAGTGAATGTGCGGGCAGAAAACTTATTATAAGATTCGTTTCGTAAAAAGGCAATAAAATGAATATCGTTATTAGCTATATAATATATAGATATTTAAAAACTAGGAGAATCAGTTAATGTAACCAAAAAATTTCATAAGATAATAAATGTTGTTAAACAATTCGATTAAATCGTTCAAACGTGAGGGTAAAATGTTTAATTTTTTGATTTCATTGAGAAAACGATAGAGCCAGGGAAGTGCTACATTTATCATAAACTCATATATTAAATTTAATACTTGATTCGTGGTCCAAGACATTGGCTTGATAGCGACATTTGCAATCGATCTAATCGACGATAGCAAGTAATTCATCGGATATTGGATCAAGTTCGATTCTTCTATGCCAAATATCGATCTTCGATATTTTCGTTTTGGGCAATCGATTTTGAAGTACGATTGTGTAAGATTGTTGTTTGTCATTTTGAGTTCGAACAAGTGATTTATCGTTTTTACATCGGAGAAAATCGAATCGATAAAGCAAAAGATCTTTATCATTTTGTGCGTCGATTGATTAACAAAATTTAACGTGAATTCATCAATGATGTCACTCGAATTAGTCTGGACATTGTGATAGTTGTTCGAATTGTATTTCACTGCAACATGATCATATTAGCGGTTAAATTATATTATACTAGATCGATCGATCGATAGATCTTTGATTCGTACCTTGATCTTCGCAGCACACACAGAGAAATGTTAACAGTAAAAAAATAATCGAGGTATTCATGATCGTGAATCATTCGATCCGAATTGTAGATCCCGTAAACTTCGACTCGACTTTCGATTCAAGAATTGGAAAATCGTAAATTTCTGCTTTTACCTTTATCGGGTCCTTGGCACGATAAACCTATCATTTGACTCATTATCGATGATAATTTACTATGTATAATTGCATTTGCATGTCACGCGATACACAATTAAACGGAAAATTGCATTGGTCGAATATTTTACAGGTTAATTTACTTGCATTTATCGCGTTTAATCGACGTTTATTACCGAATCCTTTATCTGGATTTACGTCAGAGGGATAAATATATATATTAATAATGGATTGATCACGAAAAATTTATATTTATCGCATAATTCCAAGGAAAAAAATTTCATCAAATTTCCATCGTTTCGATCACAACGTTATGTTGACACGAAGCTAACAACTAGAATTATTCGAAGGAAATGAATTATTCGCACAAGAAATACGAGGATCACAAAGGTTGTAGAATCTCTCCTGTTTGCTAATGCTAATGCTAATGCAAATATCGCGTGTAAAGAGAATCGAATTCGAATCGAAGTCGACATGTAAAAATCGATCGTGAGAAGATTCAAAGAAGTAATAAAATTTGAAAAAGCTGCAAGAGATCATCGTTAGAAACGAGAGCAATTTTTTATCGTAATCGATTTCCGTAAAGCAACATTGCCGTGTTTTAATCGATACCGCGGACTAGGCAACTATCGCTTCAAAGAAGCAGAGATCGTTCGATTGTGTTCTTATCTGATTCGATTGATCGATTGTTCGATCTCCTAGTTGCTCGCATCCTATTCGATTGCAGGTTTTCACTGTTCAGTCCTATTGTATTAAACGCGATTTTGCAAATCACGATCAATTGGCTTGGCTTGAATAAAGAGTTACGTTTGAGCTTTGATTCTTGGGCTCTGGAAATTAGTAGAGAGTAAAATCAGTCGCGTGACGACCGTGAACGAGTCACTAGTGATACGAATCGATCTCGCGAATAATACGACATTATGACGAGATACATTATGACGAACTTTCAATTTCATACAATATTATTATTGTTGTGCGTTTCGAGTTGCGTGTATCTCGATATTTTACCAGTGGAAGCTGAATCCATTTTAATAAGACCGTATTACGTGTACGAAAATTTGATCAAAGGAGTTCACGATTACTTTAACAACACTTGCATCATACTTTTCCATGGCTCTTCAAAATTAATAGAAGAGGAAGGTGAGTGCATTGATGATGATTGAAGGTAATGCATATTGGCGAAAATTGAAAAGTTGATTGGTTTTTCAGGTTTGCAAGAAATGGACGGACTTTTGACGCTTCAAACGCAATTTAGCAAATATTTGCACATTCGAACTGTGATCATGGATTTTCATATGTTCAAGAATCGAGTAGGTTAATTGTGAAATTATTTCGTGAATTTAATATTAATATTTAATTTATTTAATCGATTTTATTAAATTTAATATTAATGGATTTATGAAATATATTATCGTTTTAGGTAGAGAAAACTTATCATCACATCAAGAGGCCGTTGTTCGTGTTGTTGAACGATTTCAAAGAGATCAGGGAGCAATTCGTTTCGGTGAGTGACAATAAAAATTAAATTAAAAAAAATCTAAGAAGACTGAAATGAAGTGTTAATAGGTGTCCAAGTGGATTACGATGGCTTATCCGACATGGTTGTTGTTCCTAAGGGACGAGACTAGATTCGAAGAGTTTTTGTCAGACGTTTACATACCTTTCGATTGTGTTTTTATGGTGACTCAAAGAGATTCGCAGGGAACCGAGATAATTCAAGACGTGTATCGAATCGGAAAAGAGGATTATCTGAGATCAATGATGTTCGGTATGTGGAATTCGAGTCATGGATTCCAAGGACCTCTTCTCGGATTGTATCAACGCAGGCACGATCTACACGGGCATAACATAAGGGTGGTTGCCATTAACGTGAGTCGTAAAATGCTATTGTTTGTCGCAGATTTACAATGACATGCATACAAAGAAATATTTACTTCTAATAAATCTTATATCATCAAAGCTTCATCAATCTCTTTTATATAGATAAAAGTTAAAAATTTCCCTATTTATTCTCTCGTCGCATAGATTAATGTTTACAATGTTTTTTCCCTATTGATAGGATCCTCCTATCTCACGGATTTCCCGCGATGAGACTGGCCAGCCATTCATCACTGGTTTTTTCGGCGAGGTTATTCAACTACTGCAACAAGGAATGAATTGCACGTCAGTACATCGGTCAATGATTATTAATAATTTAACTTATAGTTAATTGAAAAACTAATGTAATGTAAGTACCTATCGATAGGAGCATCGTTTGATCCTGCTTCCGCAGGATTGCATGCCGAGTCGTCACTCGGATTGCACTTTATCGCATCGCTTGCTTTTTTATGATTTGCTGTAGACGTGGCCTCTTTTTCATCCTGTTCTTTACATTCCTCTTTACACTTCTTGTCACACTTCTCTTTACACTCAGCTTCACACTCGGCTTTCTTCTTGATGCTACGCTCGCGTATTTCCTTCAATTGTCTGGCCGTTATCTTCCTAAAATACTCCTCTTGATTGGCAGCCGATTTCTCCTCGAACCATTCCCTCTTTCGACCGTCACCGCTTCGACGAAATCTTTCGTAATAACGATGAGGAATTACGACCGTCTGTTTGTTACGCCATATTGCCGTGCATCTGTGATAGAGATAAAAAAAATGTTTGATTCTACGTAAACGTACAATTGTAAAGATCTCTCCTCCGTTGAAAGGATAATTTCCTTGAAATGCAACGAAAATTGGGGATGAATTTTAATCCGGAAGACGGATTGTGATTATCGTTAATTCACAAGGTTATCTTTAATTAATCATCATCGTGTAAGGGAATGAATTCACGTACGACAGGGAATTTCCTCTAACGGGTTCCAGACATTTTAAAGCGAAACCGCGTAACATAGTTCCCGCGTCGACCACCCGTATCCTTCCTCTCCTTTCTCCTTCCTCGAAGCGAAGCCCGTTTCGGGATCACGTTTCGACTCACCGACAACTTCGCGAGAAAGTCACGAGTTTGATCGGTTAGGTTAGGTTTACGGAAAAATGAATAAACGATGCTCATAATGTTGAATTTTCAGCTTTTCATACAAGGAAGCTGAGACGTGGGGCGTCCAATTGTTGAACGGTTCGTGGACAGGTTCGATTCGGATGTTGTTAGAGGATGAGGCGGATCTGATCGCCACCGAGATGATGATGTCTTCCAACAGGTTGGACGTACTAAAATTTACGACTCCCATTTACACGAGCAAGTGAGTTCCCTTCATCCTCCATTTTCCTTTTCTTCCTTTTCTATTTCTCTCTCTCTCTCTCTCTCTCTCTCCTTTCTTTCTCTTCAGATGTCGCGTATACATCAGGAGACCGGACACGACAGCGGTGAAATGGAACGCATACTTGGCACCGTTCGCGTGGAACATTTGGAACGCGATAGCGTTGACTATTGTGATCGTGACTCTAACTATCGCAGGAATCGACGCATTCTCGAGACGAATCAAGTGGCTCTCCTCGATCGATGGCAGGCCTTATCCCTCCAACCATTTATTCGAGATCCTGTTCCACGTTTTCGGCGTGTTCTGCGGACAAGGTAAACGGCGATCGTTCGAATCGAGTCAGTGCTCGTGAAGAGGTTAGAATTGGAACAGGATGATCCGAAAACAGGTATGGATCAGTCTTTATTGGATCCAACGAGGATGGTGCATCTGAGCGTCCATTTGACGGCTGTGGTAGTGATCGCTGCATACTCGGCAGCTTTGATCAGTTACCTGGCCATCAAAACGTTCGCGATGCCGTTCACCACGATGAAAGGTTTACTCGAGGATGGTAGCTATCGGTTCGCGGTGGTTGCTAATTCGGCCGAATACACTTTCTTTCAGGTAATGACAGATTGTTTGAAATAATTAAATTGATTAAATTTCGTTGATTCGTCAATTGTGGATTTTTTTTTTTTTTTTTGTGATCAGAACACGACCGATACCGTGCTCACTATCATGTTCGACGAGCTATTGACAAGAGAGACCGATCTGCCTGTGAATTATATCGATGGTTTGAAACGCGTTTGCCGGGAGAAGAATTATGCGTTCATGACGTTGGACAATATGGCTTCCCTGCTGCAAGGAAAAGTGGACTGCGTGCTTGAACCTTTGGACGCGATTATGCAAGTGACAATAGCCATGGCGGTCCCGTTTCAAAGTCCTTACCGTGGCATTATCGATACCAAGTGAGATGTTGTTGACTATTGATACGATTTTTATAATTTATATCGTCCTCCGTTTCTCCTTTTTTCCACAGCATTCTTTTACTGCGGGACAGCGGAATTCTTCAACGGCTCCTCAAGATCGAATGGTCGAACGAGATAAGACGGGTATTATTTTTAATGTTAAATAAAAACTTTAATATTTAATATTAATATTCTTCAATGATCGCATCGCAAACAAGTGTCTTCTTCTTCTTCTTTTTTTCCAGACAAAAAAAGGATGGAGCTCGGTAGAATTGGAAGACGCGGCACCGTTGCTCCTTTTTCTGATAGCCGTCTATTCCATTGTCTGCCTGTTATTGTTGGTAGAGCGATTGATCGGTCGAAATCGAGAACGACGATCCAAGACGAATTAGCCGCGCACACTTGTCGAGTTGAATCGTTCGCGCGAGTCGTCGCGTTCTTCAACGTTCGTCCAAGATCGCACGTAATATATAAACAAACGATCGAGCTGGCACGCGTCCGGACGAGCAAGAGACGACAGTTGTTCACGCTTTCTTGTAGCGATCACGTAAAATCAAACTCACGTGGAAACGAAGAAATGACGAGTAATTTATCCAAAACCGAAATAGCTCATACAACGCGAAACAAGGTTTCCGTTGAGAGAAAGATCTCGTCAAAAGAAATTTTATTACCGAGTGGGAAAGAAAATGAGTGCCCTTCTGCGAAGAACGCGACGATCGGTGGTAGAAAAATAATTTTCACGGGTGATACAACATGTCGAACGCAACGTATCTCTTCAAGTTCGAACCGAGGGATTGACCAGTCAAAAGAGAGGTATTTAAATAATAATTTAAAAATTGATGTGTTTTCATAGTAAAAAGTACGATTTTTCGAGATTTTTAATAACGTTGTGAATTTGATAGAAAAACAAAAATTAATTATATTAACATAATAATTTTATCAATGTTTCTACATTCATGATTTTATATCGATTTCATTAATAGATGTTTGAACGTTACTCAGCCCCTCAGTTCGAACAATGAGTTAAAAAAAGAAGTCTTGAACGAACGCAGTCGAACGAATCGTTCTCTTTGGAATGTATCCGGTAAAAAGATGCCGTTTCACGTTCATTGCGACGATGCAAATAAAATTTCGCATGTATGCGATTCTCAAGCAGAAACGCATCGTATTTCCAATATGACATCGGTCGATTCAATAGAGTCGCATTTTAAAAAAGGCGAAAATCTGAAACAGGTAAATCAAATCAAATTTTAGTTTTTTTCTTTTTATTCATTAGTTTATTATTTTTCTTTTTTTTTTAGACGGAATCGAGAAAAATAATGCAAAAACGATCCCCACCCGAATGTCGATATATGATCGAATTTCCTCGGTCCAAGATACCTTGCCGAGTAAAATCGAGTTCCGTACGACCGCTGCAAACAAGTACACGAATCATTCCGAGACGCTCGATATCGATCGAGACTGCGACTAGTTCGCATGCGCAACGTTTCAACTTCGACTTGACAGAGAAAAGCTTAATCGCATCGAGAAATATATGGAAATCATTCGGAAGCGGAGCTTCACAAATTGAAAACAAGATCAAGGATAAAAGTAACGAGTATGAATTTTGAGAATTTTATTTATTTATTTATCTATTTTTTATCTTTCAATAAATACCTTCCAACACTTTTTAAGTAACTTTTTTTTTCTCACAGAGAAAAAGATGAGAAAAATGCAACGAAGAATTTCTCTAGAGAAAGAAGTACATTGTCTGAAAGAGTGGCAACACCTATTGATGAGGTACCCTCATTTCCAGCACCATCGACACCTCTTAGGGTAGAATCTCGTTTTTTTCTTGCAAATTTTTTTCAATTTTTGTCCCGAATATTGAAAATATCGATTATTGTTTATTATAAGGTGATAAATCGACAAACCAATTTGAAAAAACTTGAGTTCAACGAGATCATTCCACCCGAACGGAATTCTTCTTTCTGCGATTTGATGTTCTACATGGAGTATCTCGATGATGTACCGATGATCGAGCGTGAAAGGGAAGAGAGATCTCCACGATTGTCGGCTAATTTTTTAACGAAACATATTAATCCCGAGCAGAGGAGATTAGTCGTCGCGTTTATGATACGCGTTGGAGTAAGTACAGTGAAGAAATAATTGTATTTCTTCAAATGCACGCTGATGAATCGATTTTCCCCTAACAAAAATTTTATTTAATATCCGTAGAATCATTGTCGATTCCCTTCGTACATCGTGTATCAGTCGGTAAAGTTGTTCGATGCCGTTATGGACAAAGTTTCGGTGAAGACGATGTTCTTCCAATTAACGGCACTGGCTAGTCTGTGGATCGCGCTCAAGAAACAAGAAAATTATTACAAAATTCCAACGGTAAGCAAGGAGATGCCCGAGTAAAGATTTTGATAAAATTATTTTCTTGTTCGATTTGATTTTTCCAGGCTAACGCAATAGTGAGCCTTGCCCAGGATCTCTACATAGGAAGAGAGAATCTGCTTATGATGTACGAGAGAAAGATCTTGCATGTTCTTGATTTCAACATCACATTTGCTGATGCATTTTCTCTGTTCTCTCATCATCTGTTAAGTTGCATACGTTATATCGATATATCCAATGAGATGATTGTGTTTTTATATCATTGTGGCTGTTACTTGGTACGAAATATTTTCTTTCATTTCTCTCTATTCTCTGATTTCTGATCACTGTTAAATCTTGTGAAATTTTTAGATCGACATCACGTTGATAGATGAACATTTTTGTCGAATACCGGCAAGATTGATTAGCCTAACGATAATAGAGCTGGTGCTTGGTCTCATAGATAACACGCCTCGATGGTTGTTCTGGAGAGGTTTGCTCTTTGCTATTATTCCACGTTCACCGGATGATAAGTTAATATCGCTTCATTTTATCTGCACGCGAGTTTTCTTAAACTTAATTTTAATTATAGAACGTTGCGATTATTTCTAGGTTTCAAGATAAGGAGATCGATGAAACGCGTGTTTTGATATTGCGACGTGTGTTACATTCTGGGCAAAAAGTCCATGGCTTCGATATGGTGTACAAAAAATACAATCGCAGTAGATACGGTCGCATATCGCAATTTTTCTTGGAGCTGGTTACCAAGCTGTCTTCTACAGAGATATATTTCGATCCGTAAAACGATTTTATTACTATCATTTGCAATTTTTATTTATTTTTATTGCTATATTATAAGTCAAAAGAAAGTGAGCGAGTGTATGAATGTGTGAAGAGATAATAATAAGATAGATCGTTGAAATAAAAATATCGATAGTGTCTGTTGCTATGGCATTTTATTTCAGCGTTTGATAATACATCATCATCGTGTTTCGTTAAATAATTCACGACGAAAAGCGGCACTCAATTCCCAATTTTAAGCAGCACCGTAATTATTTTGTATCTCTTGCCAATCGTTCCATCTATTCCACGATTTGTTCACCGATACGAGATCTTTCGCTTCGTCCTGTAATGTAATAAGTGTGAAAATTAATTGGATTCATTCTGTGATTGGCAAGAAAAGAAGAGGAAATTGTTTCGTTACCTTGAACAAGAGATTCGGCCGATTGGACCAAGAACCGAACAAGTGCAAAAGATCGGGTCGCTTCGAGTAAAGAGTACTGGCAGCTAATGTACCGTGAGTTAATTCCTCCAAGACCGTTGGACTCTTAGCACCTGAACTAAGGATTACTCTTGGCGGTTCCAGTCCCAAGTTGCATCGTTCCCACTCATTGATTTCAGCGCGGCCACCATCCGGACAGATCAGAGCGAGATCTTTGTTCTGTACGCCTTCCTCGGATAGAGCGGTCAGTGGTACGAA